AGTTCATTGGAGAATGCTGTTGGTATTTTCATAGGAATTTCATTGAATCTGTAGATTGCTTTAGGTAGGATGGCCATTTTGACAATATTACTTCTTCGTATCCATGACCAACAGATGTATTTCCATTTATTGGTATCTTCTTTAATTTCTCTCATGAGTGTCTTGTAGTTTTCAGGGTACAGGTCTTTCACTTCCTTTGTTAGGTTTATTCCTAGGTATTTTATTCTTTTTGATGCAATTGTGGATCGAATTGTTTTCCTGATTTTTCTTTCTGCTACTTCATCGTGAGTGTATAGGAATGCAACAGATTTCTATTAATTTTGTATCCTGCAACTTTGCTGAATTCAGACATTAGTTCTAGTAATTTTGGAGTGGATTCTTTAGGTTTTTTATGTACAATATCATGTCATATGCAAACAGGGACTGTTTAACTTTTTTACCAATCTGGATGCCTTTTATTTCTTTGTGTTGTCCAATTGCCATGGCCAGGGCATCCAGAACTTTGTTAAATACAAGTGGGGAGAGTGGGCATCCTTGTTTTGTTCCCAATCTTAGAGGAAAAGCTTTCAGCTTCTTGATGTTAAGTATGATGTTGGCTATGGGTTTGTCGTATATGGCCTTTATTATGTTGAGGTACTTGCTTTCTATGCCCTTTTTGTTCAGTTTTTATCATAAATGGATGTTGAATTTTTCATGCTTTTTCAGCACCTATGGAGATGATCATGTGGTTTTTGCCCTTCTTTTTGTTGATGTGGTGGGTGATATTGATGGATTTTCTATTGTATTCCTAGAATAAATCCTACTTAATCATGATGGATGATCTTTTTGATGTATTTTTGAATTTGATTTGCTAATATTTTGTTGAGTATTTTTGCAACTATGTTTGTCAGGGATATTGGTCTAAAATTTTCTTTTTTTGTGGTATCTTTGCCTGGTTTTGGTATTAGAGTGATGCTGGCCTCATTATAGAATGAGTTTGGAAGTATTCCCTCCTCTTCTACTTTTTGGAAAACTTAAGGAGGATGGGCATTAGGTCTTCATTAAATGTTTGATAAAATTCAGTGGTGAAGCCATCTGGACAAGGAGTTTTGTTCTTAGGTAGATTTTTGATTACCAATTCAGTTTCCTTGCTGGTAATTTGGTCTATTCAGATTTTCTCTTTCTTCCTGGGTCAGCCTTGGAAGGTTGTATTTTTCTAGAAAGTTGTCCATTTCTTGTAGGTTATCCAGCTTGTTAGCATATAAATTTTCCAAGTATTCTCTCATAATTCTTTGTATTTCTGCTGTTTCTGTAGTGATTTTTCCTTTCTCATTTCTGATTCTGTTTATGTTTGTAGACTCTCTTTTACTTAATGAGTCTTATTTCGGGGTTTATCTATTTTGTTTATTTTCTTGAAGAACCAGCTCTTGCTTTCATTGATTCTATTTTTTTATTTTTCTTGGTTTTATTTATTTCTCCTCTAATCTTTATTATGTGCCTCCTTCTACAGACTTTGGGCCTCATTTGTTCTTCTTTTTCTAGTTTCATTAATTGTGAGTTTAGACTGTTCATATAGGATTGTTCTTGTTTCCTGAGGTAGGCCTATATTGCAGTATACTTCCCTCTTAGTATGGCCTTTGCTGCGTCCAACAGATTTTGCGGTGTTGAGTTATTATTGTCATTTGTCTCCATATATTGCTTGATCTCTGTTTTTATTTGCTCATTGATCCATTGATAATTTATGAGCATGTTGTTAAACCTCCATATGTTTGTGGGCTTTTTCATTTTCTTTGCATAGTTTATTTCTAGTTTCATACCTTTTTGATCTGAGAAGCTGGTTGGTATAATTTCAGTCTTTTTGTATTTACTGAGGCTCTTTTTGTGGCCTAGTATATGATCTAGTCTGGAAAATGATCCATGTGTACTTGACAAGAATGTGTATCCTGCTGCTTTTGTGTGCAGTGTTCTGTAATGTGTTAGGTCCCTCTGTTCTAATGTGTTGTTCAGTGCCTCTGTCTCCTTACTTATTTTTTGTCTGGTTGATCTGTCCTTTAGAGTGAGTGGTGTGTTGAAGTCTCCTAAAATGAATGCATTGCATTCTATTTCACCCTTTAATTCTGTTAGTATTTGTTTCACATATGTAGGTGCTCCTGTGTTGGGCGCATAGATATTTATAATGGTTATATCCTCTTGTTGGATAGACCCCTTTATCATTATGTAATGTCCTTCTTTGTCTCTTGTGACTTTCTTTGTTTTGAAGTCTATTTTGTCTAATACAAGTACTGCAACTCCTGCTTTCTTCTCCCTATTAGTTGCATGAAATATCTTTTTCCATCCCTTCACTTTTAGTCTATGTATGTCTTTGGGTTTGAAATGAGTCTCTTGTAGGCAGCATATAACTGGGTCTTATTTTTTTAACAAATCAGTGACCCTGTGGCTTTTGATTGGTGCATTAAGACCATTTATATTTGGGTTAATTATTGATAGATATGTACTTATTGCCATTGCAGGCTTTAGATTTGTGGATACCAAAGATTCAAGGGTAACTTCCTTACTATCTAAGGGTCTAACTTAACTCACTTAGTATGCTATTATAAACACAGTATAAAGTTTTTTTCCCCTCTTTCCTCCTCCATTCTTTATATATTAGGTATCATATTCTCTACTCTTTGTCTAGTCCTTTTTATTACTTCTGGTGACAGCTATTTAACCTTAGGAACACTTCCATCTAAAGTAGTCCCTCCAAAATTCACTGTCAAGATGGTTTGTGGGTGCTGAATTCTCTCAGCTTTTGCTTATGTGGAAATTGCTTAATCCGTCCTTCAAATTTAAATGATGATCTTGCAAGATAGACTATTCTTGGTTTGAGGCCCTTCTGCTTTATTGCATTAAATTCATCATGCCACTCCCGTCTGGTCTGTAAGGTTTGTACTGAGAAGCCTGGTGACAGCCTGATGGGTTTTCGTTTGTATGTGATCTTATTTCTCTCTCTGGCGGCTTTCAATAGTCTGTCCTTATCCATGATCTTTGCCATTTTAATTATTATGTCTTGGTGGTGTTCTCCTTGGGTACTTTGTGTTGGGAGATCTGTGCACCTCCATGGCCTGAGAGACTATCTCCTTCCCCAGGCTGGGGAAGTTTTCATCAATTACCTTCTCAAAGACCCTTTCTATCCCTTTTTCTCTCTCTTCTTCTGGTACCCCTATAATGCGAATATTGTTCCATTTGGATTGGTCACACAGTTCTCTCAATATTCTTTCATTCTTAGAGATCCTTTTTTCTCTCTGTGCCTCAGCTTCTTTGTATACCTCTTCTCTAATTTTTATTTCTATTTCATTTACCGTCTCCTCTACTTCATCTAATCTGCTTTTAAATTCCTCCATCATATGTTTCATTTCTGTTAGTGTATTCTTTAGTGATTGAATCTCACTCCTGAATTCTTCCCTGAGTTCTTGAATATTTTTCTGTACTCTCATGAGCATGTTCATGATTTTTATTTTGAAATCTCTTTCAGAAAGATCAATGAGTTCAGTTTCAGTTGGCCCTCTTTGTAGTGTTTGTGGGATTTTGGTTTGAACCATGTTCTTTTCACGTTTCATATTTGTATGTGGCGCCCTCTAGTGCTCAGAAGTTCTACATCTGGAGCTGCTCAGCCCCTGGAGCAATGTCAGGGGTCACAGGGGAATGGTGCTGGTGTCTGTCAGGAGGAAGAGCCAGGGCCAGTGGGCCATGCACGCAAGTACAAGCCTGTAAGCTTTGTGCTTGTAGGTGCATAGGTGGGGACTCCCTCTTGCTGTCCTAGCACTAGGGAGGGGCAGCTGGTTTGGTATTTGGTGCCTCCTGGGTGGTTGGTGCTGCACCTGCTATCATGGTGGGGGGACTTGGAGGTGTGTTACCAGCCAGGGGGATCAAGCGCATGAAGCTCCTGAATTTCCAATCTTCTGGGGAGAATGCATCTGGACACTTTTTGTCCACCTGTCCTTTATCCTGAGTACCAAGCTCTGTGCAATTTTTGACCCTTTAGGAGCCCTCTTCCTGTTAGGAAGTCTCTCAGACTGCCCACCTTTCTTTTGTCCCAGAGCAGCCAGATGTGGATCCCTGTTTTCTACAAGCAGCTGGAATCTCAGTCTCTCCAAGTATTCTGCCTATCTTAGCTTTCCAATCCCAGTAATCTCCAGAGCACCATGTAATGTAGGTTTGTGCTCCCAGAGCACGTCTCCAGGACTGGGTGTTCAGCAGTTCTAGGCTTCCACCCCAACCCCACCTCGTTTCTCTTCCTTCCACCAGTGAGCTGGGATGGGGGAAGAGCTTGGGTCCTGCTGGATCATGGCTTTGGTGCATTACCCTGTTCCGTGAGGTCAGTTCTTTTCTTCAGGTGTATGCAGTCTGGCATAGCCTTCTTTCCTGTTGCTCTTTCAGGATTAGTTGTATTAACTATATTTTCACGTTATTTGTGGTTTTAGGAGGAGATTTCTGTCTCACCTCTCACACCAACATCCTTAATCCCTCCAATATTTACCTGTTTAAATCAAGATTGTTTTATTTTACTGTGTTGATGTTTAAATGGATAACTCACTTTAATCACAGCTCTTCTCAGTTTATCAATTCTTAAAGGTCATTGGCTTAGTGTTAAATTTTGAGTCTTTCAGATTGTTTGGTTTCAAGGATGAACTCAGAACTTCAAGTTCATTTTTTTGTTACTTATTTATGCACTTATTTGTGGTGAGGGTGATGGCAGATGGGAACAGTGACATGGATTTTACCACTCCAAAAAAGTGGCATACTGAGTCATGTTTTAATTTGACCTGTGACATTTACTGTCTCTTCTTTAGTGAGGTGTGGTATGAATTAGAAATAAGTTAAAATCGGTGAGGTACTGTACTTGAATGTACATTTATTTCTATTTCTTTTAAAACATGTATTTGTACAAAAAGCTAGAAGTTTGTTTTCAGTTTGAATTTTAAAAAGTAGGTATGATAAACAGAAAATTTTGATCTATTCTTTGTTTCCTTTAAAAACAGAAAAGCCTCCTAATAAAAGCAGTATGAGGATAGTAGTGGATTCCGAGTCAAGGAAAAGAACCATTGGTTCTGGGGAGCCTGGAGTTCCTACAAAGAAGACTTGGTTTGATAAGTAAGCTGGCAGGAAAAATTGAATTTCACTGTGCAGTGATTTTTATGATGGGTGTAGTTTTATTATCACAGTGTAAGATTCTCTTTCAAAATAAAATTTGTGTAATTCTGTTCTGTAGGCAACACACCACTAAAGGAAATTGTTTTTAAAAAATTTTTAAGTTACTTGCCTGGAACTTGGAAGACATTTCCAATATAGAAATGGTGTGGTAATTGAAGACAAAAATTTTCCTTTCTCCTCCTCTCCCTACCTCCAAAAATATACCCCTAGGCTTAGACAAGTCCTTTAATGCTATCTTATAGAAAGGATAGTCATGAGCCTGTTGTTAGGGAAGTAAGTGTGGGTCATGTAGAGGAGGAGGCTTTATCATGTGAGCAATTCCTATTAAGAGCTAGAAATAGATCTTTTGGGGGTTGGGGAAAGCTGGATAGGCACTGAAGTTGTAGAGGAAGAGCTTCAGAGAAAGAGATAAGGAATCAGAATGTTGGAGTGTGTGATTCATTTATAAATTTACATTTTTGAGGAGAGACTAGGAACACACTGGGATCCTTAATATCATTTAATAATGGGTAATATCTAGTTATGGCTCTGCCTTTAATTCTGTGATTTAAGGCAAGCAGTGTAACTTCTTTGAGTTATTTTTGTCCCTTTTTTCATGTGTCAAATATGTGGACTGTAGTTTGAACGTTGACAGATTTTAATCAATATTTCAAAGTAGAATACATTTCAGTATGCTAGCCTTTACAGAAATGGGAGAAAGGTTATATATACCAATATATACCAGTTGATTGAAAAAGAGTGCTAGTAATTGTCCTGCTAAGAATTCTAAGTAGAAATAGGTTGAAAATGTAAAGTAACAAATGATGTGGGAGAACCCCCTTTTCAGTTGACTTCCATCAAAGATTTGAACATTACTAATTTGGAAACTTCATTTTTTGGAAGAAAATTTAAATTTTTTATCGAATCAGTAATTTCTATTTTGGAAAAAAATTGAACTTGAACTTAAACTGTGAAACTTTGTTCCTTTATATTTGGTAGGGGCCAAGATTTATAAATGAATGTATTAATTAACTCGATTTTTGTTACAGGCCAAATTTTAATAGAACAAACAGCCCAGGCTTCCAGAAAAAGGTTCAGTTTGGAAATGAAAATACCAAACTTGAACTTAGAAAAGTTCCTCCAGAATTGAATAATATCAGTAAACTTAATGAACATTTTAGTCGATTTGGGACCTTGGTTAACTTACAGGTAAGAACTATGAAATGATTCTTTTGTCTTTGTTTACTTACAGAGGGAACTTAAAGTAGTAAAAAAAATACTATTATAAAGAAATATTATGGAAAATTTGGGAATATTTAAGTTTAGGAAATTGAAAATGAAATGAAACTTTGAATTTTAGAAAAAATGTGATTTTGAAAAATCTTTTACTTTTAAAAGGCAGAGGTTTGATCATATTGTTATATACTTTTTATTTTAAATTCCTCCATCATATGTTTCATTTCTGTTAGTGTATTCTTTAGTGATTGAATCTCACTCCTGAATTCTTCCCTGAGTTCTTGAATATTTTTCTGTACTCTCATGAGCATGTTCATGATTTTTATTTTGAAATCTCTTTCAGAAAGATCAATGAGTTCAGTTTCAGTTGGCCCTCTTTGTAGTGTTTGTGGGATTTTGGTTTGAACCATGTTCTTTTCACGTTTCATATTTGTATGTGGCGCCCTCTAGTGCTCAGAAGTTCTACATCTGGAGCTGCTCAGCCCCTGGAGCAATGTCAGGGGTCACAGGGGAATGGTGCTGGTGTCTGTCAGGAGGAAGAGCCAGGGCCAGTGGGCCATGCACGCAAGTACAAGCCTGTAAGCTTTGTGCTTGTAGGTGCATAGGTGGGGACTCCCTCTTGCTGTCCTAGCACTAGGGAGGGGCAGCTGGTTTGGTATTTGGTGCCTCCTGGGTGGTTGGTGCTGCACCTGCTATCATGGTGGGGGGACTTGGAGGTGTGTTACCAGCCAGGGGGATCAAGCGCATGAAGCTCCTGAATTTCCAATCTTCTGGGGAGAATGCATCTGGACACTTTTTGTCCACCTGTCCTTTATCCTGAGTACCAAGCTCTGTGCAATTTTTGACCCTTTAGGAGCCCTCTTCCTGTTAGGAAGTCTCTCAGACTGCCCACCTTTCTTTTGTCCCAGAGCAGCCAGATGTGGATCCCTGTTTTCTACAAGCAGCTGGAATCTCAGTCTCTCCAAGTATTCTGCCTATCTTAGCTTTCCAATCCCAGTAATCTCCAGAGCACCATGTAATGTAGGTTTGTGCTCCCAGAGCACGTCTCCAGGACTGGGTGTTCAGCAGTTCTAGGCTTCCACCCCAACCCCACCTCGTTTCTCTTCCTTCCACCAGTGAGCTGGGATGGGGGAAGAGCTTGGGTCCTGCTGGATCATGGCTTTGGTGCATTACCCTGTTCCGTGAGGTCAGTTCTTTTCTTCAGGTGTATGCAGTCTGGCATAGCCTTCTTTCCTGTTGCTCTTTCAGGATTAGTTGTATTAACTATATTTTCACGTTATTTGTGGTTTTAGGAGGAGATTTCTGTCTCACCTCTCACACCAACATCCTTAATCCCTCCAATATTTACCTGTTTAAATCAAGATTGTTTTATTTTACTGTGTTGATGTTTAAATGGATAACTCACTTTAATCACAGCTCTTCTCAGTTTATCAATTCTTAAAGGTCATTGGCTTAGTGTTAAATTTTGAGTCTTTCAGATTGTTTGGTTTCAAGGATGAACTCAGAACTTCAAGTTCATTTTTTTGTTACTTATTTATGCACTTATTTGTGGTGAGGGTGATGGCAGATGGGAACAGTGACATGGATTTTACCACTCCAAAAAAGTGGCATACTGAGTCATGTTTTAATTTGACCTGTGACATTTACTGTCTCTTCTTTAGTGAGGTGTGGTATGAATTAGAAATAAGTTAAAATCGGTGAGGTACTGTACTTGAATGTACATTTATTTCTATTTCTTTTAAAACATGTATTTGTACAAAAAGCTAGAAGTTTGTTTTCAGTTTGAATTTTAAAAAGTAGGTATGATAAACAGAAAATTTTGATCTATTCTTTGTTTCCTTTAAAAACAGAAAAGCCTCCTAATAAAAGCAGTATGAGGATAGTAGTGGATTCCGAGTCAAGGAAAAGAACCATTGGTTCTGGGGAGCCTGGAGTTCCTACAAAGAAGACTTGGTTTGATAAGTAAGCTGGCAGGAAAAATTGAATTTCACTGTGCAGTGATTTTTATGATGGGTGTAGTTTTATTATCACAGTGTAAGATTCTCTTTCAAAATAAAATTTGTGTAATTCTGTTCTGTAGGCAACACACCACTAAAGGAAATTGTTTTTAAAAAATTTTTAAGTTACTTGCCTGGAACTTGGAAGACATTTCCAATATAGAAATGGTGTGGTAATTGAAGACAAAAATTTTCCTTTCTCCTCCTCTCCCTACCTCCAAAAATATACCCCTAGGCTTAGACAAGTCCTTTAATGCTATCTTATAGAAAGGATAGTCATGAGCCTGTTGTTAGGGAAGTAAGTGTGGGTCATGTAGAGGAGGAGGCTTTATCATGTGAGCAATTCCTATTAAGAGCTAGAAATAGATCTTTTGGGGGTTGGGGAAAGCTGGATAGGCACTGAAGTTGTAGAGGAAGAGCTTCAGAGAAAGAGATAAGGAATCAGAATGTTGGAGTGTGTGATTCATTTATAAATTTACATTTTTGAGGAGAGACTAGGAACACACTGGGATCCTTAATATCATTTAATAATGGGTAATATCTAGTTATGGCTCTGCCTTTAATTCTGTGATTTAAGGCAAGCAGTGTAACTTCTTTGAGTTATTTTTGTCCCTTTTTTCATGTGTCAAATATGTGGACTGTAGTTTGAACGTTGACAGATTTTAATCAATATTTCAAAGTAGAATACATTTCAGTATGCTAGCCTTTACAGAAATGGGAGAAAGGTTATATATACCAATATATACCAGTTGATTGAAAAAGAGTGCTAGTAATTGTCCTGCTAAGAATTCTAAGTAGAAATAGGTTGAAAATGTAAAGTAACAAATGATGTGGGAGAATCCCCTTTTCAGTTGACTTCCATCAAAGATTTGAACATTACTAATTTGGAAACTTCATTTTTTGGAAGAAAATTTAAATTTTTTATCGAATCAGTAATTTCTATTTTGGAAAAAAATTGAACTTGAACTTAAACTGTGAAACTTTGTTCCTTTATATTTGGTAGGGGCCAAGATTTATAAATGAATGTATTAATTAACTCGATTTTTGTTACAGGCCAAATTTTAATAGAACAAACAGCCCAGGCTTCCAGAAAAAGGTTCAGTTTGGAAATGAAAATACCAAACTTGAACTTAGAAAAGTTCCTCCAGAATTGAATAATATCAGTAAACTTAATGAACATTTCAGTCGATTTGGGACCTTGGTTAACTTACAGGTAAGAACTATGAAATGATTCTTTTGTCTTTGTTTACTTACAGAGGGAACTTAAAGTAGTAAAAAAAATACTATTATAAAGAAATATTATGGAAAATTTGGGAATATTTAAGTTTAGGAAATTGAAAATGAAATGAAACTTTGAATTTTAGAAAAAATGTGATTTTGAAAAATCTTTTACTTTTAAAAGGCAGAGGTTTGATCATATTGTTATATACTTTTTATCCAGTGGAGATTACCATAAAGTTATAGCAGAGTTAAATAATCACACTGGTAAAATCTAATCCTACACTTTTTATTTCCTCTGTTTTCTCAAAATCATTACAGCAGAATACTTCAGCCAGGTTATTTTTGCTGCCTTTCCAGTGAGATACATTTAACAGATGCTTTTGGGGCCAAAATGTCAAGTAATCTATAAATAATTTAAGTGTTTATTCTTTTTCCTCTATCACTTGTTAAACATCCTTCAGGATAAATGTCAAAATAATTTATATTTGACTTCCTGTAAAATTAGGCTTTGGTTTGGGTGTATCTAACTTGTGATTTAGTATTGAGTTGATATTATGTGATATGTTGAAAGTGTTGAAATAATGTTGGACTTTTTTTCTACGTATATGGTATTCTTTTCAACTAAAATAATTATTCCCTATAATCTGATAAAAATAACAAATTGTAGAAAGTACAGCTTAAGTTGATTATTTGGATCATATTATTTTCTTGCCATTAAAAAATAACATTATAAAAGTAATAGATGAAAAAATGCATGCTTGCTTGGGGTGGGGCAATAGAGATTTGTATAGTATTTGTAGAAAATATTTCCCCTCCAACTCTTTTTGTCCCTAACATTCCTTTTCCATAATCCCCATAATAAAATTACATTATTGTTAATGACTTACCATGGGTTGTTTCAGATTTCTGGTTTTGTATTTGTGAGTTTCTATGTATGTATCTACTTGTCACTCAATCAATAGACAAACTTAAAAGTTTATGGGCCTATATTATGCATATTATCCTGTAGTTGCTTACTTAATCTTGAATATCTGGATATCGCTGGCAGTTCAGTTTGACCTACCACATTTAGATCTAGACATAAACAAGTTATCAGAATATTCATTTCCTCATAAAATTAACTACTGTGGTAATACTTAATTTAAGAAAATTTTCAAAGCTATGGGACAAAACATAGTCTCACTATCTGCATTTCCTCAATTACTAGTGAGATTGATACATTCTCATCTGTTTATTAGTCCTCTTGCTGTATATGCATACTACCTGCATTATTATTTATAATATGCATTTTTAAAAAATCAGTAAAAAATAACCCTTTTGTTTTTATCTTGTTTAAACACTGTTGAAATTGATATTTTAAATTCTAGTAAATGTACAGTTATTAAAATGCTACCTAAAATCATCCTTATGGCAAATATTTATTGAGTACTTAGTATATGCTCTCTATTCCATGTGAATTATTATTATTCTTAGCACTACAGGGTGGGCATTATTACTCCTTTTATGTAAGAGGAAACAAAGGCACTGAAAGATTAAATAATTTCTTCATGCTGTTGTGAGAGTAGCAGTCAAGGCTTGAGCCAGGTAATTTGATTCAGAGTCTTTGTTCTTAATCCCTATTTTGTATTGCTTCACTACACCAGTAGTTCATATACCACACTTTGGAAAACATTGCTGTTGTTGAAAGAACAGGAAATCTGAAGTACAAAGCTTTGAATGTACTGTACTACTTAGTAGTTGCATGGGTCCACAGAGTCACAAACTCCCTTTGAGTCAGTTCCCTTATGTGTAAAATGTGATTGTTGCTGTTGTGTCAGTCTTTTTTTTTTCCTTAAATTTTTCTCCAACTCTTGGAAATATTTTTGTGAGAATTACAAATTTGAAAACTTACAGTTGAATTTTTCTTTAATTTTTAGTTAAAGGGCACCCCTTTCAAGGTAGTTAAATGCCTTCTTCCCAGCTCTGGGTCTTGGCCACATCACTCACTGACATAGGCGTTATTTCTTGTAGTCAGTAATAATATTAGGCTAAAAAGTTAAACATTTTGAGTGCTTGTATATAACATTTGTGCAAGAAGCATTCTCCATTAAATGTTAACAAAAGAGGCCCTTGTTCCACTCTGAATAGCACTCAATACCATTTTTTCTGGAGTGAAAATAGGCTATGGTAATAATCTACTATAATATATAAGGAAGGGTAAAGATAGAATCTTACATGGAAGGACCAGTATTTAATTTCTTGAGCATTTCAATGAGTGTTTCATTATATGAAGCAGCAGACTCATTTGGAAATTCACAGTTCTTACTATTTTAAATCCTAGGTTGCATATAATGGTGATCCTGAAGGTGCCCTTATACAATTTGCAACATATGAAGAAGCAAAGAAAGCAATATCAAGTACAGAAGCTGTACTCAACAATCGCTTTATTAAGGTTTATTGGCACAGAGAAGGAAGCACCCTGCAGTTACAAACTGCTTCTCCAAAGGTAAGAGAGAAATTTGTGTGGAATTAAATGCTTTTCTTAGAAAGCTGTCAGCATAGTGTTTAAGAGCAGAGGCCGTTATATTCAGGTAGATTTGAGCTTAGATCCTGGCTCTACCTCTGGGAACTGTATAAACTTGATGAAGTTACTTAACCTCTGTTTTATTTAACAGAGGTTAAAACAAACTTGCTTTAGGAATGAGTGGCTTTTATTTTTAAGCTTGAGAGGCAGGAACACATTTTAATTACTCTAATTTAGTTCACTCATTTCATTGTGATGTTAATCTCTAATTTAGATAATTTAAGATGATATGTATAATGCATATAGAAATGTCGCTGGTAGCTAGGGGACACTCAGGACATGGTAGCTATATGTAATTCCAGAAACTCAGGTTATAGGTTCATCTTGAAAATCCTTCCCTCCTTTCTTCCCTGTCTCTTGTCTCTTGTCTCTTTCAGTGAAGCAATGCATATGTAATATTAGATTAATTGCTTGTAGAGGTATATTACAGCAGTTTGTTTCTTGATTTAACTTTATCCTATTCATTAAAAAGAAGATGGTGAAGGATAGATTTTAATTTTTTCTTCTACTTTATAAATAAGTTATTTAATGTGAAGAAAAATGTATATATTATGTGGGGAGAGATTTGGGAGGTGGTTAGATTTTGATTCTAAGCTGCACTTTTAAAACTTGAGCTGTATGTGAGTATGCAGGTGTGTGTAGTTTCATAACAAAATAGCAAAGGTTACATGAACTAATCAGCTTGTAACTTTTTTTTCCTCCTTCTGAGGTAATGCAGCCATTAGTCCAGCAGCCCATTTTGCCTGTTGTGAAGCAGTCGGTCAAAGAGCGGTTGGGTCCAGTACCTTCAAGTACTGTTGAACCGGCAGAAGCTCAGAGTGCCAGTTCAGACCTTCCTCAGGTAAATGCAAAGTCTTGTCATTGAGCCTGTCACATAATAGGTTCTCAGTAAATTAGTTTCCTTTGGTGATTTAAATTACAATTAATTGTACATATTTTATACAGAAATGTGATAGTTTATACATATTTGAACCCCACCTGTAATTTTTATTCTTTTACTGTTGCCATAATATTTCCACATTTGACTTTTTCAGTAGTATTTGAATTTTAAGCACTTCTCTCTAGTTAATTATGTATGAGAAAAGTTCTCTTTCCCTTTGTGGAGGAGGTATATTTTCTAGGAAAACCACCTGAAAACTGAAGTTCAGTAAACTAAATCTTATTTCTCCCATCATCTTTTACTTAACTAGAATTCTGTTCAAGAGGTAATTATGTAGTAGACTGAACTGAAGCTTTTGAGAATGGAAGGTTTACACCACGTTTTAGTAGGCTTGATATTAAATTGTTTCACATACTTGTGTAGCTCTCTCAGAACTTTGCATCACTTATTCCTGACTTTCATATTCTCTTTTCCATCTGTTATTCCCTTCCCACTCCCTTCCATACTTGAGTGGCAATTTTCTTGTTTCAAAACCCTCAGGCTCTGAAACTGAGCTTTCTTTTGTCTCCAGATATTTCAGCATTTGCTATGTAGAATAGTTAGGATGTAATATCCTACTTAGCTAATGGATGCTGCCTTATTAAATAGATAATTCCTGAAGATAACGTAATGAGATCTTTTAAAAATATGCAGAATGTAAATGGGTAAGTTATTAGTTACTTAAAAAGAAAAATCCCAATCCTATTATTTCAAATCATCACCAAATATAGTATATTTGGTTATAAGACACATGATTTAGGAATGAGTGGATTATATTTTTAAGCTTAAGAAGCAGGAACATATTTTAATTATTCAAATCTAATATTTAAAATGTTTGAACTTTCTATATGTCAATGTTGGGTTCTAAGAATTATGATTTTGTCAGATTAGCAACCACCTGGTTCAAATCTCTTATTATACACCTTAATTTTTAATGATTGAATAATATTGCATACTGTTTTGTTTTTCCACACACTTCATTTTCCTTATGTCTCTCTCTTTGAAAAAGGCCCAAGTTTTTGTGATTGACATCAGTACATAGAGTCAGCATATTTTAGTAGAACCATTATGTTCAAAATCCCAACAGATCTATGTGTTTGGGGAAACACTGAATATGTCCATTTTAATTTTTTTAGAATGTAACTAAGTTATCTGTGAAGGACAGGTTGGGTTTTGTATCAAAGCCATCTGTTTCAGCAACTGAAAAGGTAAGATGAAGAGCATGATGTGTTTGTCTTGGCTTCATAAATGTTTTCAGATGGCATCTTAATTTTTTTCATAGTTCCAATCTCTCTGCTTCTTAATAGTATTTGTATCTCTTTTCCTACCTTTTTGCTTTCCATTTACTGAAAAAGAAAAATGTTTGCCTACCTCTTTTTACTTTTTGCATCAACATTTTAATAACTTGCCTTGCAGTATTTCCATGTGCTCTATTCTTTTTTTCTTTTTACTTACTATATTTTCTTTAGAGATATTGTACGTTTTGATTTGAAAACTCTGGCAGCCTAATAGGAAGGGCCATGAATTAGGACTTTTGCCTGAGTTTGAATCTGACTCTTTACTTACTAACTGCATGACACTGGGCAGTGCTCTTAACCTTTTTGAACCTTTTTCCTCATTGATAAATGGTGATGGTATATTTGTCTTGCTCACAGAATTTTGTGAGGATTAAATAAAATAATTTATTTAAAATTATTTTGTACATAGGAAAGGATGATACAGTTTTTAAAAAATTTATCACTAATGGCCATTGTGTATAGACTGATAATACATTTAGACACTTCTTTTTTTAGATGAGGGGGTAAATACTGATTAAATTAAGACCATTTATTGAACTGTCTTACAGTTCTATATAGATGTATTATATTTTTCCTGCTTAAGTGAGTGAATACCCTGAACTTTACTCTTATTTGAGGTATGTGCAATTGCAGAATATTATAATTAGGTAATCTTTCTCATTTCTATATCCTCACTTTAAAGGAAGGTAAGGTTCAAATAGTTTTATGGTTGAACTACTATGAGCTACTGAGCTAAGACTGGAATATCTAGTCCTATTTCTAGTCTGTGGCTCTTTCCGTTATGAAGATAACATAGTAATGACTTCGTAAGTACATAGAGCATCCTGTGAATATCTGACCTGATCTCTTCACTGGTTCTTCAGTATATTATATTTTCTTTATTTACTGTGTCAAATTTTGTTCTAGAAATTGGAATCTGAATCTCATTTAGCATATCAGATTTTCTTTCTTCTTGGGCACCTCAGCATTACTTCAGGCATAACATGCCTAAAATAGTTCATTACCCACACAATTAATTTCTCCTCCTGGCCCTGCCTCTGGAAGTGATAAAACCATTTTTCAAGTTGTGCAATCTAAGAGTCTTCGGGTCATTTACTTGTGTTTGTAGTCCACTTCTCTTTATCAACTCCAGTTCCCTGGTCACTGGAGGCAGTTAGTGGTGTAGCTGCATTTCCCTCCTTTAGTTTATACTGATGCCATCCTCTCTCAAACTTATTTTAATATTAATTCTCTACAGGAACTTTAGTTTCCTCAGCTAAATATTTTTGCTTGGTTTATATGGTTCATCATACCTCAGTTATTCTGGTTCTGTTACCTCTACTTTAATCCTTTCCTACCCTATTGAGTTTTTTTCTGCCCATTGTCCCTCTTTCTTATTTTTTCTTAAGTTGTAGGTGATTTTCCTGGAGTGTATTTCCCTCTAACTGAATTCTAGTCATTTTTTTAAAGACTGAAAAGGTTCTCCAGACCTCTTCTGAGAAGCCTTCAGGTTTTTCCATATGATGCCCCCCTTCTCTTTTTCTCTAAATACGTGTTGTTCAGTCTGTGCTACAAAATGTAAAAGTATCTAAGTATTTACCTGATTAGGTTTCTCCTCCTTGATAATAAGTAACTAAATAATTAAAAAAATAAAATAAACAATATAAAGTTTGTTACATTTAGTGTAGTAAGGAGCAATTCTGGAGAGGTCTAAAAAACCTGATTATGTTTTTTATTTATTCATGTCAAGATTTGGATTCTGAAATTGAATGCACTAAATACAGGTTTTACAGAATTCTTGTAGTATATTGTGCTACTATTTTCATTATTTTAAACATGTTTGTATAGCTTTAGGATAAAAGGGATACAGATTTGGAGTTGATAATATAAATTTACAAATGTAGTTACCACTAACTACATTTGTGAAAAATCACTAACGGTAGTAGGCTGTTTAAGAAATTACTTGGCAAATGCCCTGAAGAATCTTGAAAAAAAAGCAATTATTTCCAAATATGCAACTTTCAGTCATATTCAGTAAACCTATTGATAGAATAGCATTTTATTTTTGTTTATTCTTAGTTGTGTTCCACTAGTCCATGGGATTTTTGCCGTAGAATCCTTAGAGGTCAGTGATTCAAGAAAACAGGAAGAAAACAAGAATGTTTCCCACCATCAAATACGATTAAAAATTTTATTTTTAGTTAAAGATGGGAAAACTCAAAACTAGTATCTCCACGATAGTATCTGCCATCATTAAAGCACCTAAGTACACAACTGTAAAGTTTTTTCCTCTTCCTGTAAAAACCACCAAGTAGACCCTTTAGTAATTCTTTATTCCAAGATTCCACTTTTGTGAGAGGGCTAAAGAGAGGGAACTTAAAATCAAATTGATACTGTTAAGACTCTGCAGTAGCTATGAAATACATTTTATTTAAATGGAGTCATCAGTGAAATGATGTTTGAGTACCTCTCAAGAGATAATTTTATGAAGAATAAAGGTGGTATCTGTGTATACCAGCCTGGTTAGTTTTTAAAAAGTGACTTACACTATCCAAAGTTTTCTTCCTAAAACTCTTCTAAATTCTAAGAAGGGAAAAGATTATTAAGTTGAACATTTAACGTTTGTACATGACAGTTTTAGGTATGTAAAACTTACGACACAGGATGGTATTGTTCCTTAGTTTTTTTTTTTCAATGTAAAAACACATATTGGTCCCTTTACATGATATGCTAATGTCTGTACCATAGAAATTTTAAAAGGGAAATTGTGTGGTATAATTAAAAGGACCATTGCATGTCAACCACTTCATTATTTGTTAATTTAACAGCTAATTCTCTGTTCTGTATGATCCTTAACAAGTCTTAACACTTGTCATTTACCTTAACTATAAAATGGAATTATTTAAGTAACCCTTTGGAGTTTTTAGTTTATTTGTTTTGCTATTTTAAATATAAAGATGAAAGAAATTTATTGTAGTTCTCTTTCATAACTGTTGAATACTTTGATTTCTTTAATGCATTGGCTTCATCAGGATTATAACCTAGATTGCTCTGTAAGAATTATTACCAGGATTGTTTTTCTTACAGAGAAATGTGATTTATATAAAATTATTTGCTATGATGAATTTTCTGGACACCAAGCTATTGTAGCAAAAAATATTATGGACTGTATATAGTTTTTCTTAGACTTTAACATATTTCTCTGCAAGATCTTTAATCCCTTTGTCTCTTTTAAGTTACTTATTCTTGAAAGAAAGAAAACTGTTAATGCCTGAAAATATTTTATAAATTTAAAGTAAAATTCTGTTCTTGTTAGTATTTTCAATTCATTAGATTTTGTTATAGAAATGACATCTATTTGCTGTTTTAATATCATAAAATGGACATTGAGTTAATGAAAAGACAATTATTTACTTAATATGAAAATTGACCATATAGTAATTGTGTTAATAAGCTTCCTATACATAACTCCTGAGATATTCTCTTTTTATTGCATTTAAGCAAGGCACTTTGTGTTAGGAACCTGTTAGAGCTAGTTTACTTTAAATTGTCTGTGAAGCATTTTAATTGTGTTTCTTTTTCATTTGATTTCAATTTGGGCATTGACTGCTAGAAAATGATACTCAAGTAACTTACTTTGTAACAACCTTCTTTTGTAGTAGAAAGTAATCTTACAAAATACTTTTTTTCCCATCTATTCTTATCCATAAGAACATCTAATTTTCTTTCTTTACAAGTAGTAATAGTAGTTATGCCTGGTAATATTTTACATAGGAAATAAGGTGTTAATGGATTATAATCTCTCTCTTATTAGGGAATTGGCTTTTCTCTTGGAAAGTAAGAGGTATTAATGAAGCATGTTTTAACAACAAAGTACATGATACTTTTCAACTCATGAATTCAACATACCCTTGATACCAAACCTGACACATAACGTTACAAAAAAAAGGAAAATCAACAAGTGACTATCTCAGGAACATAGACATAAACATACTAAACAATATTGGCATATGTCCAGTGATATGAAAAAGATAATTCATTCTGGCTAGATAGTATTCCAGAAATGCAAGGTTGCATTGACATTTTAAAATCAGTTTGATTTACCACATTAACAGAATGAAAGGAAGGGTGGTGGGGAAGTACCCCTTATGACTATCTCAGTAGAAAAAAGTGTATGATAAAATTTATTACTTAGTCACATTTAACACTGCAGACTAGGAATAGAAGAAACTTTCTTGATTAGACAAAATTTATCTGCAAAAAAACCCTGTAGCTAACATACTCAATAGTGAAATACTGCATACTTCCCCTCTGAGATCAGGATAAGAAACTCTCATCACTTTTTTTCAGTAGCTTTGAGCCTAATCAGTACAGTAAGGCAAGAAAATGAGATAGAGCTATAAAGATTGGAAAAGAAGAAACAAAACTATATTTACTCACAGATGACATGATTATATATGTAGAAAATTCAAAATAATTCACAGACCATTGGAATTAATAAGTGAAAACAAAAAGTTCCCTGGAAATAAAGTCAGTTTATAAAAAATATAGCATATGCAGAAACCCATTTGGAAAAAAGAGGTGTAGCTGTTTGAAAAGCCACTGCTTTTATGCTTTGAGTGTGTTCTTAGGATTTAATAGCATCTTTTCCATTGGGTTTGTCACTTTTCTGCACTGGATTCATTTTTAACAGATTTTCTCATCTTCTATTGAAACTCTTTTATCTTCATCTTTTGGAAATACAGATATCCCTTGCTATCCAAACTCTTATTATATAAACTCTACAAGCAAATAGATTCAAATAGTGAGCAGTATTTGTAATCGTAGTTCATAGTTTTTGAGGCACATTTTGTTTTCACATTTTAACACTTCTGAAACTGGGTTGCATCTTACAGTTGTTGGTGTTTATAGCCATATTTGGCATCCTTTTTTTCTTTTAGAAGGGGTATTTTAAATGATACTGTGTCTCATAGTGATTTGTCTTAAGCTCAGTGAAGTATATTAGCTGTTCCATTTTGTACAGAACATGAAAATGACCTCATGATGTATTAATTTATGTGACTTTTCCCCTGTTTATAAGGATCTTGAAACAAAAACGTCTTTCTGGACAAAAGAAGTGGGATGCTTTAGGAATAAAAGAGTAGTCTCATTCTTATCAGATACTTTAAATCACTTTGAACCAGCACTCCTTAGTCTGATATCAGATGTTAATGAGAACATTTTGAAAAGGAGTATTCTCTACTCACTGAAGTTGGAGAAGTGAAAAATTAAATTATGTGGATTTCTTTAGGCCTTCTCATAGCTTTTATGATAATATAAATTTTGCAACTAGAGAATGGGGTTATAGTATTCATCCAACTTACTGGACTAGAAAATCTTTTTTTGTTGCAGCTTTTCAACTTGTTAAGAAATCCTCATAAAAATAATTTATGGAACATTCAGAATCTGTCTTCAGATTATCTTGTGCTTTTCCCTCTATAAAGTAATTATCTCATCCTTGTGTAATTACACACTGGCATTGTGTGGCATGGTAAGGTAGCATGGAAGAAATTTTTCTCTACTATTAGAATAATGACTAAACCTGTGTTTTCTCAATAGTTTACTAAGTGTAACCGCTTCATTATTTGTTAGTGATATCTGATTATTAGTTTTCATTATCAAAGAAAAATTTCAATCAAATTTTGATACATAATTGAGTATTATAAAGAACCTTTATTTTTAAACACTATGCTCTATAGAACCAATATAATTACAGTATTCTAGCTTTTTATTTCATTTAGAGGCTAAGACATTCTTGAATACTTAGAATAGTGGTAAGGTCCCTGAACTTAGTGATGTTCCCTAATCTAATTTCATGATAGAAAATTGGAAAGTAGTGTCCAGCTTGCTGCTTCTCTGATGTACCCAGATATTTACATTTTGTAGCTGAAAACTAAGGCTCTTTTCCTATTGATGTTCTTCTATTTGTGTAGCTCTTTTTACGCTCTTAGGTTATGAACTCTTTCAAGACTTTGGAAACTGTGTTTTCCCCTGGAAAGTGACCTTGTTCACACACAAGGTTTCACCTGTACTGTTCAGAGCATTCATAGATTTCTGAAGGGATCGGGATCCCTGGACTCCTTTGTAAGAACCAGTAACCAACCATTCCATGGAACCTACTAACATTTTGCTTTTTAAGGATAATAAAGGTAGCTTATATACTTTTATTTTCTTGGATTAGCTCTTGCATAGAAAAGATTGTTCACTTTTATCTGTCAGTTTAATTTAGTGCTTAAGTGTTACTGAAGATTTGCTGGGGGCTCTGGCACTGTTTTCGGAACTGAAGATGTAACTGAACCAAGCAAAAAATTCTCTACTACTGTAGAATGAATTTGGGGGCTTGTGAGAACATTACACACCATCAAATTGAACTTTCTCATTTTGTAGATGAGCAAACTGTGCCCCAAAAGGTACCTTAACTTACCTGGGGTCTCACAATCAGTTGCTAGCAAGGTTTAGGTATTTAAAGAAGCACAAAGGGGAGAAAGGCATTGTTTTTGTTTCAAGATCCTTATAAACAGGGAAAAAGTCACAAAATTAATACATCATTAGGTCATTTTCATCAAATATTTTAATTGCTATAGAAATAAAATTTCATAGAAGGACCTTGGTAGAAGAAATAAATGATTAAGGCTTTACTGGAGGTCTTGACTAGTTGTGCTGAGACTAAGTGGAGTTTAAAGGGATTACAGTCACTTAAAGCAGAAAGAGCAAAGCTAGCAAAGAAATGGAGAAAGAAAGCAGTAAGTTTAGTTTCAGAACTATAAATTGCAAATGATCACATTAAGTTGTTGCTTGAAGCACCACTTCCAATTTCCTTGTGTACAGGTTTTGCTCTGGTAACTAGAAATGCTAGTAAATATATTCAGCAACTAATATTTCTCAGTGATAGAGTAATTGTACTGTTTTTCTTGATTTCAAGTTATGTTTGGTTTTGCTTTTTTCCCATAAGTATATGGTGTTAATTTAAAAATTTTCATTTTATAGTTTATCTTTCATTCATACCCTTTAAGTCACTAAATGTGATTTAGTTATGTTTATAATACTTTTAGTTTAATGTACTGAATTTTCACAGGGTGTTTTAAAGTTGAGTTTTAAAGAAAACTGGACTTAGGAAATCATTAATGCTTCATACATTTTATAAGAAATTGAATTTGTATTGGTAGGTGTTGTCTACATCTACTGGACTAACAAAAACAGTGTATAATCCAGCTGCTTTGAAGGCTGCACAAAAAACCTTACTTGTTTCCACCTCTGCAGTTGATAATAATGAAGCACAGAAAAAAAAACAGGTAAGTACAGTTAGTAGTGGATGAAATTTGCATGTAGGAAAGTTTTCTGCATGTATGTATTTTTTAAATGCTTACCACTAAATAGAAATGAAAGGAAAAGTATATGTTGGCCGCAGTTAAACTTTCATTTTCTACAGTGTAGCAGTCAATATTTTTTTCGTAGAATGAAAGATTCTCCTGATTGATCTTTGATGCTTGCATATGTATTTTTTAAGTTTTACATAGCAAAACCTTGCATTTACTTTTTGTTGCCAAACTGCAGTTAACAACCATTCTTCTTCTCTTGAATAATTTTGCTTGTTGGAAAATAAGCAGTAAATAGTCTACTGATTTTGTTGATCCCTCTTTCTAGGAGGCACTGAAACTTCAGCAGGATGTCAGGAAAAGGAAACAAGAAATTTTAGAAAAGCACATTGAAACACAGAAGGTAAATTATTAAAATTAGATTTGGCAATTATAAATGTTACAATTTTGAGTGAATCTAATCTTTTAATATGTAGATAGTCCTCTATTTAAAAGCATATTTACTGTAATTGACAATGGTAAAATTGAAATATTTATCAGTGGTAATGTATATATCAATCAGTGTGTTGGGGATGAAGAACATACATTAATTGGAAGATAAATGGGAATTGGGATTGTTTAAACGGAAGTATGGTTGTCAACTTGAAATGAAAATAAGGAGTTTTATCCAGGTGTGTTCCTGCACCGTAGTTTGTTCAGTGGATAGTGAATTAGATGGAGCCTTTTTCTCAGTGCTATGTACAGAGATATGTATCTTTTTAAAATTGGCTTGGGATCCTCTAGTCCTGTGTTGTCCATTTAATAGTTAATAGTAACTAATAGTTACATCTGACTATTTAGTACTTGAAATATGTCTAGTCCAAATAGAGATGTTTTGTAAGTGTAAAATGCCACACTTCGAAGATGTAGTATGAAGAAAAAGGTAAACTCTCAATTTTGGTTGAAATTGAACATTTTGGATATATTGGGTTAAATAAAATGTAATTAATTTTACTGCTTTTTTAACCTTTTTAACGTGGCTGCTAGAAGATTAAAAATTACTTATGTGGCTTACAGTATTTTGTATAGTGTTGCTGTAGTTTATGACATTTATTTAGTGACAGTTCTTGATTATGGCTGGTGATAAAGGTTATGAATTTCAAAATATCAGCAGTACAGAAAGTTTTTACATTTTGGTTTAAAATAGATGTCTTTTCTAAATTTGATTTTGGGTATACTTTATAAAGAGAAATCACAATGCTTTAAACCAAAAATTGAAACCATCTTATAATAATCTGTGGTGGTTTTCCACCCCATGTTACGTTTATCTCCTTGTTTCCTACCTATGCTGAGGATATTGTTCTTAGGCTGGCCAGTTACTATTTCCAGTGGCAAAGAAAGTTATTAAACATTCCATTTTTCTAATATTTCATTATCTGAAAGGAACCATGCAGCTTTTCCTCTGGTTCTTTCTGGGTTTCAGACTACATTTGGAGTGGGAATACTTAAAAAGCAGTAATATTAACAAGTGGGTTAGAATTTAAAATTGTTGGTACTATTTCAAATTAACAACTTTTCAGTTATTGAATTTCTTATGGTTGTGTGCTCTATTTTTTAACTTAACATTCTAAGAGACCCAGATAGTAATGTAATTCTTAACAAATAAATATTAAGACTTGAAATGAGATAGTTAGCATCACCAAATCTCCTATTCTTAGTGGTTGTAAACCTTGTCGTGAACACATAACTGAAAGTAGTAGCTATTTATTTTATATTTACTTTGTTGTTTTGCTTTGTTAATAGTAGGAATAAGTATCTCATTTTTCTCTTTTCAAAAATTTGGCAGATGTTAATTTCAAAACTGGAGAAAAACAAAGCAATGAAATCTGAAGACAAAGCAGAAATAATGAAAACGTTAGAGGTTTTGACAAAAAATATTACCAAGTTGAAAGATGAGGTTAAAGCTGCTTCTCCTGGACGTTGTCTTCCAAAAAGTATAAAAACCAAGATTCAGGTATTTTAATTTGTTTTGTTATTCATATTTCTACTTACTAAAAAGCATTAGAACACTACACTAAGATTGAGTTTTCCTTTTAGGAAATATCCTTTGCTGAAAATCTGACCATTGTATGCTACCATTCTCCTCCTCTTCAATTAATAAATAAACACAAACACTCTTCATCTTTTGAATCCTGTAGATTACAGTTGGAAAGTCAGTCATTAGGAGAATAGTTAAGGATAAATTGAAAAGGTAGTTTGGAGGCAAAATGATACAGGTTCTTCAGTGCTTGACTGAGGAGTCTGAGCTCTGTTTTGTAAGTAGTTGTAAGTATTGGGTGGTATAAAAGATTAATGAACAGAGAAGCAACATTCTGACACAGCACTATACAGAATGAATTGATTGATGAAGAAAATTCATGTAGATTAACCCATTACATACAAATACATGAGCAAGAAAATTTTAAATGGTAATAAGTGATTTAAAAAAAATGAGACTTCTACAATATTTATACTTGGTATGTGTGTATATGTATAAAATCATAAGTTTATATTGACATTTCTGATTCTAATCTAACACCACAGGGTTCTTCCCTTCCTTCTTTTATTCTGTATTTTATGTCCATGTTCCCATAATGGCATTTCGGTTCCCAATAACACCAATGCAGTGCTCATTTGCATGGTTCTGAAATACATTCCTAATAGTTCCAGAATTGCTATATGACTTACAACAATTAAGTATAAAAATTAAAATATATTTATATGCTTTACAACCTCACAGTATATTCCACTAAGGATAGTGTCAGAACTGTGCTATAGGATTACTTTTTTCTCCCTTATTGTGTGGTTATGCTATGAATTTGAGAAAGTTAGGTGTATTTCTATTTGTAGTCAGTTTTGGATCCTCCTCTCCTTCATTCTTGCTGATGGCTTGAATAGGTGAAACATTAACATTATTCAAAGTTAAATTGTATAAAAAGATATATGTAGAAGTCCATTCCCCTTTGATCTCTGCCACTCTGTCCTTCCTCTTCCCTTTCTCTTGGTGTGTGTGTATGTATTCTTTCCTATATAAAAGCATACTATATATTGGTTGTTAACACCTTGGTTTTCTGTTTTTCTTTCCATAGTTATTTGTGAGAAATTACTCCATGTCAGTCCATAGAAATCTCACTCTGGCCCCTGTACGGAAAATAAATTACAGGAAATGAGTGGAAGTAGGAACACGTTAGGAAGCTATTATGGTAGTAATGTAAAGCAGAGGTATTGATGGCTTGGACTAGGGTGGTAGAACTGGAGGTGGAGAAGAAATTTGTAGAGTAAATGGGAATGTTTAAGAGTTTTTTGTAAAAAAAAAAAAAGTTTTTTCTAAGTGCAGGATATTAATTATTGACACCTAAAATACTAAATACTATTTTCTAGATGCAAAAAGAATTGCTTGACACAGAACTGGATTTATATAAGAAGATGCAAGCTGGAGAAGAAGTCACTGAACTTAGAAGAAAGTATACAGAATTACAGCTGGAAGTATGTTTCATCACAACTACCTACATAGTACAATAGTGAGAAGCAGATGTAGTCATAGTGGTTAATTTGAAAATATATTCTCCTCGTTCTAGTCAACAGTTGTTGGCAGGCTCCAGTGTATATATTGGGAGAAAGAAGAAAGAAGTTAACAAATTTTTCAGAGTTAATAGAGAAAATCTTTTAAGTAATACGGGCCAGCAGCAGTTCTGCTTATTCCTGAGTCCTCCCACTTCTAGAGAATTTGTGTCTTTTTTGATTTGTGTCTGTCCTTCCTAGGATCAAAATCTATTACTCCATGTCAGTCCATAGAAATCTCACTCTGGCCCCTGTATGGAAAATAAATTACAGAAAATGAGTGGAAGTAGGAGCACGTTAGGAAGCTATTATGGTAGTAATATAAAGGTATTTTTATGGAGATACTCTGTGCGTATATAAGTTGTATCACATTCAGTTGCTTTAAAGATTAGACTTTTAGTAGTAGAACTATATTGAATAATATGCTTATTTAAATTTTGCCTATAGATGGTGCTGTGGATATTTATAAAAGAGAAACTACATTCTTATAATTTAGTTTTATGATTATATAAGAAAAATCCAGTAAAATTGATACCTGTACATTAAAATTTTTAACATTTAGCAAAAAGATGTTTAGAAGTCTGAGTTACATTTTGAAGTACAGAGACATTAATGTAGCTGGTACTTGTCTGTATCATTGTTTGATGCCACAACTTACATTTTTTATGTTTTTAGATTACTTTTGCTTAATCTGAAAAAAATGTATTTTTCTAAATTTGTTAGCATATTGGTCATTTTTTTTCCTGGCATAGTACAAATCTGTATTGATTACTGGCATCCAGGTATTAAAGACAATATTTAGCAGCCACTGTACTTACCTTATCTGATGACAGTCCTAGGAAATCATGGGATGGTCTCCTAACTCTGCATACATTTTGCCTTCTTTGGAAACTTGATAGGTGTGCTTGTGTGTCCTGCCCAAAATGATCAGTTTTGGAAAGATAAATTCCTTTTATGTTAATATAGAAATTGTGTTTTCCCCATTTTGGAGATTTCATGACTGTTGGTGGGACTTTATAAAACAAATTATCATTAAAATATTTTGGGCCACAGTTGTAGTAAATGAATTACAGTGTTACTGGTATTCTTGTATTAGTCCATGTTTTGGTCCTTTATCATGGTATAGCTAAACACTGAGAAAAATTTTTGTTTTCTTTTGTGATGGCTAGATTTTGGTTTATAATTACTGTTAGTATATGAAGTAATGCAGTATTTATCAGTGTGTGTTCATTAACCACACCAATTCTAGTTATTGTTAATAGAGAGTAGTGAAACAAAGCTTCTAAGGCTAAATAAATTTGGAAAAAGTTATATTAAACATGCTTTTTGACTATAGAGTTTCTTAGAGATGTTTAATTTATGAATCTCCAAAAATACACATTAAATATTCATTATTGCCAACCCTTAGTTGTCTTATAGACCCCCTTTTACAAGGATCATTTTAAGATAGTAATGTTCCTCAGAGCATACTTTAGTATATGCTGCTCTGTTATGAACATTAATCCTTGACTTTTGTAGTTCATTATTTGGATTTTAGATGATTATTTTAGCTAATGTTAAGATTAACTCTCTTGAGATGAAGAAATTGAAATATTTATACTTGGAGAGATTTGGCAATGATACCTTCTTGACATGGATGTCTCACATCCTCAGGCTCAACATGTTCAAAATTGTGCTTGTCTTGTTGCTGAATTCCATCTACACAATTACCCAAACCAGAAATCTGGGAGTCTGCATTGGTTCTTCCTTTTGTTCAGTATCCATATCCAGTTAATTACCAAGTTTTATACATTTTACTCTTAGAAGCATCTTAAATGTATATACTTCTCTCTCCACTGCCACCACTGTAGACCACGCTTTCATCTTCAGTTGCTGGGGCTACTGCAGCAGCCTTCTGACTGATTTCAAGATTGTTCATGTCTTCCTTCTACTCTGTTCTTAAAATTCTTTCCAGAATAACATTTTAAACACTGTTTTGATCACAGCACTCCTCTGCTTAAAATGTTCTGGTTGATTTTCATGGCTGTTGGGATAAAAATCAAGTTATACATGATATGGCTCTGCCTATCTCTGCAGCCTAATTTCTCTATCCCATGTGATCCACCTACACGGAATTTCATTCGCTCTTTGCAGTACCATGTTCCTTTTAGCCTTGGTTCCTTTGTTTGTGCAGTAATCCTTACTCCTCCCCCTGGTCTTGCTTGTTCTTTGTTCCTTCGTTGATTCATTGAACATGAAGCATTTGCAGTCTTGTAGCATTTGCAGCCAGCTAGTATTGTAAAGTGCTGGGAATAAAGTAGAGAAAGAAATGGGGAAAAATTCCTCTTGGAACTTTTATTCTAGTCATTTATTCATTGCAAATCATCTGTTCAAATCTTTAAGTAAGGCATTTCCTAACTTTTTGAGTCACTTCTTATTAATACAATTAAATAATAGTTGCTTAATGTCTCCTTACCCCTCTAGGATTTCAGTTTCATGAAGGTAAGGACTTGCATACAAGAAGTGCTTATTAAATATCTGTGGAGTGGGTCTATTCATATAGAGTGATGTGGTGGAATATCTTACTATGCTACGTTGGTTGCATAATGATATTAGTGTAAGTGACCGAAATGATGAATTTGAGATAACTATACCTATTGAAGTCAACAGATGAACACTTTATATTTGAAAGTCATAATTGAAAAAATTATTGTGTATGTAGGTTTTATGTATATTTGTATTAAACTGACTTCTGAAGTAATGCTTAACACAGCATATAGAAATCAAGAATTGCTGGTCTTTATGACATGGTCTGATGTCTTCTTGAAGAGTAAGAACTTAGTAGAAAAAGATGCATTTAATTTCAAAATATGGCTTAAGTCAGTGTTGTTTTGTTTTCTAAATTCATTAGCTTTCAGTTTATAAACTATAACCCCAACTTAAAATTATGAGATCCTTTTATGGGACATTATTCAAATATGATGTCAAATAATGTAAAATTTTGATACCTCTGATGGAGTATAGCACTTGGCTTGTGTTTGTAATTGTGATGTTTAACCTGTTTGTCTGATCTTTTCTAGGCTGCAAAACGAGGGATTCTTTCAGCTGGTCGAGGTAGAGGAATTCATTCAAGAGGTCGAGGTGCAGCTCATGGCCGAGGCAGGGGTCGAGGTCGAGGTCGAGGTGTGCCTGGTCATGCTGTCGTGGATCACCGTCCTAGGGCATTGGAAATTTCTGCATTTACAGAAAGTGACAGAGAAGATCTTCTTCCTCATTTTGCGGTACTTTCTTACTGCCCAACAGCAAATACTGATAATCATTGTTGAGTATAATGGATATTAAAAGGAAAATTATGAAAATGGCATGAGTAATTTAAATCCATTAATCTGACCAAAGGATTTGATTGCCTATAGCAATCTTTTTGTTAATTATTTAAAATACAAATAGTGGGATTTTTTTGTTTGATTATTATCTGGAAGAAATGTTACTATTCTAGCTCTTCCACTTAGTAGGCCTTCAGATACTGTGAAATGAAAAATTTAAACTATTGTTTCAGAGAGGTAAATCCTGTAGTTTAGTTTTATTTGCTACTTACTATTTGCTGTTTATTTAGTTTAACACATTGCACAGGCCATCTAGAATTTTTTTATTTAAGTGGGATTTTATTTGTTAATATTTTATTCTTGATCCAGCTTACCTGGAAATGAAACAAGATAAAATTCTGGTATTTGATTTTGAAGTTGCATTAGTCAATGCCAGGGTATATTTAAAGGAGTCAATCTAATGGTGATAAACCAACCTGTAAGAAGAGCGAATGGGATTCTAGTCCCTGCTAAGCCATATTTAACTTGGACTTCCTGAGAGATCCAATGAGCTCATGTGCAGAGTAGAGACTACCTGTCTAAAGGCCTTTTCAACTTAAATGTTATGAATTTTAACATATCCCAAAGGTTAGTTGCTAAGCTTCTTGCCTTACTACTGTCAGCATTATAGTAATTGATCTGGAGATATAAAGGAAATAACCACTTTATCTTTAAGGATTTTTTTCACATATTGGCTTAACATGAATCAGATGGACTATAAATGAAAGTTTCATGAAATAGGAGAACCAGACCTTAGATCTTGAAAGACAGATAAGCTTGTAGATAGTTACTCAGTGATGTAACCCTTTGAAAATTATAATTTAATGTTTGATAATCATATTCTAAGCTGTTCACAGCAGGCGGAAAGGTGAAGCTATACTTGGTCAGGGAGTAGGGAGGTATTGAAAGAATGGTGTATGTTCAAGAAATAACTAAGGTGACTAATATTTAAAGATTAGGAGTCTGGAAACTCCTGTGCTCAACAGCTTCAAAGAGAGAAAGAAAGGAATCAGAGAAGTAGAAAAGAACTTGGAAATAATAAAGTCCAGTTCTTTGTTGTGCTCCCCACTTCCACATCTTTCACAAGAGGAAGGAGATCAGATAACTTAGAGGTATTGCGTGTAGTTGTACAGCTAATCAGGAAACTAGCAAAGAATATACTAAAGCAATCTAAACAAATGAGTTTGTCGTGAATGTGTTTGGTGAGACTAAAATAGTTTTGGTTTTATAAATATTCAGAGCTCTAAATTGAGACTCTTGCATGCAGTTGGAGATTTGAACTCCACTCAAAGGTAGGAGTGGTAGTGCCCATTTATTAATTATTGGTCTTCAAGAGTTCAGCTTTCAAGTTCAGTTCTCTGGCTCAGCCTGTGACTTGAACATATGACAGAGAACAGAGGAAAAATCTCTATTATTAAGGAACCATTTTTATATTATCAGAATTATCAAAATGCTTTCTTTACATTATCCAATGGGACCAGCAGTAGTAATAATACAAATTATAGCTAAAATGTACACAGCACTTATTCTCAATGCCTTGTATAACTCATTATATTATGAGTTATTTCAATAATGTCTGAGGTAGGTATCTTTATTATTCCCATTTTAGAGATAAAGAAAATGAAGCATGAAGATACTAAGTATCTTGTTCAAGTTTACATAGCTAGTAACTGATAGAACTGGGATCTGATTGATTCTAGAGTCTGTTCTCTTTAATAGACTACACAGAATTTTTCTGTATTGAGTGTGCACATGTGTATGCATTTGTATTTAAATGAGATTGTGGTTGTAATTTTATTTTGGGGTAAGAGAAGGAAGGTATTAGTAACGACATAAAAAGGACTAGAATTTTGAATGATAAAGGTTGCTATTTGTAGAAAAATCCTCTTACATGTGGAAAAAATAAAATCCAGCAATGAAAAACAAGCATAATTTAATATATTTAGGTTTTTAAAAGTCTTAAATTAGTGTGTGGTCTAGAGGGGTATATTAAGAGTAAAAGCAGGGTCATTTCAAACGTTGACTCAAAAGACCTGGACTCTCATTCTGGTAATTAACTTAATTACCGTGGGGAAAATGGCTCAAATTTTCTGAATCTTCTCCCTCTATCTTTAAATTGGGAATGATACAAAAAAATTCAGAATGTTCTGAGAATTAAATATTCTACTTTAGAACGAATTCAGTGTATCCTGGGATATAAAATGAAGGTCAGTAAGGAAGCTCAGTCTTTGACCATCATTTCCTTTATTTGATAAATTGTTCAAGTATAAGTTTCCCCAATTCTAAAAAGAAAATACTGTAAATAATATTGGAATATAGGACCACCCCACTTTACATTATCCTTTTTCCCACTTGGCCCACAACAAAGTCTGCTTTGGCAGAACGAATAGTGAAGGATAAGATAGAAGCTGAATCCTAATTCCTTTACCTTATCAAGTACTAGAGTGAATTATTGTTTTTTTCTGTTAATCACCATGAATTGTTATATATTCTGGGTTATATTTATTTGGTATTTTTAATATTTTAAAAATCATTAGGCTTTTGGATGTTTCAAAGTATTTATTTGGAGGAACTACTTTCTTTTTTTTTAAAGCAATATGGTGAAATAGAAGATTGTCAGATTGATGATTCTTCACTTCATGCAGTAATTACATTCAAGACAAGAGCAGAAGCTGAAGCAGTAAGTATTACAAATATGATTTATTGAAAATTCAGATTTAAATGTTTTATAAATACTGCTTTTACATTTTAATAAAAAAGGATTTTTTTAACTTACTAAGTAACTGTTTTGACAGTAGATAGAACATATGAAGTGGTATTAATGGCCACAAAGACTGTCTAAAGCAGTTAGGCAATTCTATATATAACAGGACATAATTAGAATGTATAATAATTTATCAAGTTGTATGTCAAGTTGTACTGTCTTGAGACACCAGGGATTCTTCTTTCTTTTTCACAGGAGATAGGACCACCCCACTTTACATTATCCTTTTTCTCAGTTGGCCCACAACAAAGTCTGCTTTGGCAGAATGAGTAGTGAGGATAAGATAGAAGCTGAATCCGAATTCCTTCCTTTCTTAACCATCCTTCATCTGTTGCTTCCCACTGCCAGTAGGCTGAACTCTATCTAAAGAAATGTCCCTAGCTCAGTATACCCGCAACTAGGCTGCTACAAATTCTTGTTGAAGATATGATAATATAGCTTGAGCTTTTAGGGTCCCTTTCATGTAATTGCCTTAAACTGTGTATCATGAATTACCTTTACAAATAATGATTGGAAGTGTATGTAGCCTTGTCTTTCATCTGGGCTTGGAAAATGCATTGTTCCAAACAGTTAACCTATTCATGAATGGAAGTGTAGTATTCTTATCAGAAGTTTTAAGTTGACTGTGTTCTAATTAAGTTTTGAAAAATCTTCTACATTGATTTATCTTTTTTGTAGTGAATACTCTCCTGCATAACAATGGTACATTGCTGGGGCTTATCTGGTAGTAGTTGCTCTTGGGGTGTTATAACCAGCAAAAATCTGTGGGACCAGTAAGTTTCAGAAAAGTATTCATTCATCTGGAATTCTTGAACAATGTAGTATCCGGTTGGGTAGTGTGGGAGATGGATACTTCTATATAATAGGAATCCTGATCCTAGAGTTTTGTTTTTTAAATCTAGTTTTGAGTAATATTTCATTTAAAGATCTTTTGTGAAAGTAAAAAGTAATTTATAATTGATGAAAGTTTAAGACTGTCTTATAAACTTGTATTTTATAGGTTATACTGAAAAGAATCTAAGTTTTTTCTCAAAGGTATTACTGAGTCTAAGAATAAGCTTTTCTTTAAATGATGGCTTCAGTGACAGTTTTCAATGTCATGTTAGGTAGCTTGAGTATATCTATGTTCTATTTTCTAGGCAGGAATCATATAAAACTGGTAGTTATTATACAAATGATTAAAACTGTCAAGTTTGTCATTTTAATAATAACTTTGAATATATATTATATATAAAACACAATTAAAAAGTCCAAGGATTAATGTATAAGGAAGACTTTAACACACTGAATTATATAAAGGTTGAACAAGCGACAAATTAGCTCAAGTTAGGGCTACTAAGAGTTACTTTTTGAGGATAAATACCATTTTAGCTGGACTTATTAGGCTGAAAGGAACGACCATTGCTATGATAAACATTTGGAAGTATGTTGTAGAAATTGTTAAACCATAAACATTTCTGTAAATCAAAAAATTTCTTAAAATCTAACATTCTATTTTAGAGTAAAAAAAATTAAGTTGAACCTTACCTTCTACAAACAGGATATAGGCTGAATAATGCAGTGGTTTCCACATTTCTGGATTTCAGGGAACATTAAGGTTCAGTAATTTAAAAGTTACTGTGTTTAACAAAGGGATGCCAATTTTTAATTTTGTCAAGGAAGAATGCTATAAAAGTACAAAAAAGATTGCATGTAGCATCACCGTAATTTTATAAAAGAAATTTTAGCACCAAAAATGTAGGAGAATATAAACTCAAACTAAATGATAGGCCTTCCCAAGAAAAGAAAATAGTCAGCCTTTGCTATTTATTTCCAAGTACTTCATTGTTCTTTTTCTCTGAACCATTATCCTTGATGACTGAACGAATGTCTCTTTATTTTGTATAATCAGTGTATGCATAGTATTTCAAGGTGAAAGTACAGGAATAATTGAGGCATTCAGTATGCCTGAAAGTGAGAAATTTTCCCCAGGAAAGAGATCTTTAGGTTAAGATGGTTATGCTCTGACTTAACTTTATGGTTAAGTTGGTACATTGGAGGATGGTTCCTACTGCTGTATTTTCTATTTTCCTGTTTGTCTCCCACCACCCCAGTGTACTAAAACTGGGTAAGTACTCAAACAGGACAGAAAAAATTAGCCCCTTCCCATGACTTGTTAGAATATATTTTTCTTATACCTTTATAAGAAACCAGGATTCAGTTTTTGAATAGGGGCAGTTCTTATTTTGTAAGAATCAGTCCCAAAGATGTAATTCTTCAGTCCCAAACTTAAAGAGACATATATAGCTTTTTATATCAGAAGGAAAGAATCCTTTCTACTGCTGCATTTTTTATATCCATGCCTCAACTTGCAGTAATTGCGAGAATCACTGATTCAAAACTATTAAGGTACTTAGAATAGTGCCTAGGACATAGTAAACACTCTTAATGTTAGCTTTTACTAATATTGTTGTGGGTTTTTTTTTTTCAGAATGAGAAATGACTGGTAGATGAACTGAATAGAGACAAGACAGAGTAAATTATTTCAAAACTCATTCTTTAGACCTGAATTGGAAGCAAAAATTTTGGTTCATAGAGGAATATCAACAGTCAGAAGTTGATGAGACTGAGTAAATAGTAGGTTTATAAGTAACCACACTATGTATAAGTATATCCAAACAAGAGAAATAAAATCATATACATAGCAGAGTTTTTGTGTATGTGTTTACTGATTTATTTTAACAGTTTTTAAGTACTTCTATATGATGGACACTTTCCTACCAGAATGAGTCAAGCTAAGTCTGAAGTTGGTGAGAAAGTGGCCATGCAGCTTGAAGTTGAGAGTTACAGGAATGGAAGTCTTTGCCTATAACTTTTACTAATTAGATTTTACATGTTGTTGCTGTTTTATATTTGTGGACCTTGAGTGTAACTCCTGCCTAAACACTGTATACTGTGGTTATTACAAACATTAATGACCTTGGTTTTAAGCCTTCTTTTATAGATCAGTTTTATCATTATGGTTACTGAAAATGTAAGGTACACTAAGATTACAGCTTTAACTCTTCTGACCTTCAGGTCAGTTTTCTCCACTGTTATTAGAGAACACTGGTTCTACCGGAACTTTGGTTCTGCAAAGGATTCTTTTGTCAGATAAGCAGGAGTTTGTGAAAAAGTACATTTTGTATATTCCATTTAGATTTACAATTTAAATGACTTGAAAAGGCAGAAGGTAAACTTCTGCTTAATTTTGCTTAACCTAGCCTTTTCCAAATGTTAATTGTCCCTAGAACCATTTTTCCATATAAGATATGAAACTTAGATCATAACTACCTTTCATTCTTTTTTCTTCCTCCATTTGTCAGAACTTAAGCCCTTTTTTCCTTCTGTTGTGTTAATGCCTGCTTTCCTTAGTTCCTAATTTGCCACAAACTTTGAATGACTGTGTGCAAGAATAAATAGGCAAAGGGCTGGAGCAAACCTATGAATAAAATGCTTCAGCTTCTAAATAGATTTTTTTTTTTTCATTTCATAGCTTAAAAATTAGAATTATAAAATGTTCATCATTGAGCTTCAGCAGTTATCTACTCATGGCCAATCTTATGTTTTACATCCCACCAACTATAACCTTCCACCTCCTTATTTTAGAGCCGTTCCCAGACATCATGTCATTTCATCTGTAAACATTTTAGTGTGTTCCTTCAATGTTAGAGCCTTAAAAAAATTAAACAAAATGCTATTATTATACCTAAAAATGATTGCTATTTCCTAAGTATTATCAAATACCCATCCAGGGTTTACATCTCCCCAGTTTTCTTATAAAGATTTTACTCACTTTGCTGAATGAACCAGAATAAGTTTTGAGATTGCTTAATTGGCATTATACAATCATGAACTCAGGTTGAAATATTTCATGGGTGTTGGCCCATTGTTCCCAGTTATTGATACATTGTCACATTGTTGGCTAGCGGCAAGTGCATATGTTTGTTCCTGAGTCCTGTTGACAGGACCATAGTGGGCCGTTAATAGTTTCTTTGCTTTTTGGTATGAAAAGGTGTTCTGGGCTCATCTTACACATTTTTATCTTCCAGACCTTGGAATTGTCCATTTCTCTTAAGGAGCCCTGATTTAAGAGACCACAATCTGAGTATTAGGGGTGCTCATTAGTGCTGAGTTTGTCACTGTCACTAATCCTTTTCAGTGGTCAGAGCTGGGAGTGGAAAAAATTGTATATAACATTCATACACATGTATACATATATGTTCACATATATACACACATGTATAAAGGAAATAAGCTCATACTGATACTTCTTATGTAATTCCAGACTATAGGATTTTATATACACAATATATATATGCACATAAAGAGAAAGATGGGTGCATAGGTAGGCTGGTGGGTGGATAGATATAGGTAGATTGAGGGATAGAAAGATAGATTATGGAAAGGGATAATTCAGGATTATATGATTTTTACTTATCTTGGGGGTCATATTATTTCTGACTCCTTTTTCCATTCTGAAAACTGACCTTTTTTCACTGACATCAAAATAATTAGTTACGTGCTGTATATATGTCTAAGAATAAAAATGCCACCTTTACAAGAAATAATATTAATTACTGGGGAAAAAAAGTTTAATATTTTCTTAGTTCTTTTTGTCCTTACAGTATATTATATTAGGTACATACAGCATATAGTTAACCACATAATCAGTATTTTTAGCCAGTAAGACAGTTTTGGTGAATGTAAGTATTTTAATTGGGGAGGAATTTTTAGATGACAGTAATTTAGTTTGATTTATTGTTGTGATTGTAGTTGTTTTATATTGTGATGAGAAAATCTCATTTAACTTAAAGGAATTATAAATCAGAACCTTTTTTATTTTTTAAACAGTTCCTTTGCAGTTTCAAAATACACTTAAGTAAAGTTGGGGTGTCACAGAATACAAAAAATACAACTTGGCAGCACACATTTATTGATAATGTCTGTTATGTTAAAAGTTGCTGGTTTACACATTTGAGTGGTTTTCTTACTACTTTACAATAGCTTTGTATTTTTTATATTAATTTATTTTTTGAATAGAAAATATGTATTCATGCTGTAAGAGCACTGAAGTTTGTGCAGTAAGAAGCAAATTGTCTCATCCTTATCCTTGGTTCTCAGTTCCCTGCCCAGAGATTACAAATATTTTTAGGTGGGATTTTTGTTTGTTTATATTTTCAGACTGAGTCCATAAATCTGTAATAGTGTATCAATAACTTCTTTCCTCACACAAATGGTAGCATATGTGGTGTCCTTCAGCTTGCCTTTTCTACATTAACAGTCTATTTTTCAGATATTTTATATTAAAAACTGTCTTATGCTGTCATTATTGCATAGGTATTCCATTTTATGGATTACCTAGTGTAATCAACCATATTGATGGACTAAATTTTTTAAATTCTTTTTTTGTATCACAGTGAATATTCTTGGTGCATATTTCTCTGTGTATGTATGTGAATATGATTGTAGATAGGATATATTCTTGATATGTTACTGCTGGATGAAAGGATATGTGCATTTAAATAATTGATGGATAGTGCTACTAAAAATGCTTCCCCTTCTCTTCCCTGCCATTATAGGTTGTACCACATTGGTTTGCCCACCAAAGATGTATGAGATTGCCTTTTCCCATAACTTTTTCCATAGTGTGTACTTTACACACTGGTTTGGCCAGGGTTCTTTAAAAAAAAAAATGACTTTAGAGCTTCCTCTCCTCGAGGTCTCCTGTCTGGCTTTACTTTGGTACTTTGGTAGTTTTTTATCTAGATTATCAACTTAGTTTGCATTGAGATGAGCAAATTTAATTTAATTTTCATCTGAGGTTATTTCCCCCACTTTTCTTTCTTATTTTATATAGTTTTACATTTAGCCCTACTTCTCACCTATATGACCTAATTACCATCTTGCTCAAGTAGACATCCTATAGGATACATTTATACAAGATTTTATAAATACAGTTTGTATTTTAACATACATTCTAATGTTTGCAGAACTCTTGAGGCAACAGCCATAGTACACTGTTATGAAAAAAAACTCTTGAAGCTGCTGCTATAGTATACTGATCTAGTTCTTATTATATATTGAGGAACAGCAATTAAGACAGTATGATCCTGGATTTGGCCAAAAGATTCCAAAGGTTTAAGGACAAAATAACATCAGAATAACCAAGAATATTCTGAAAAGGCTGAGAAATGATACCGAGTTTATTATGAAATAAAGAACATAATAATGGTGTGGAATAGACAGTTAGTTAATAGAACAAAATAGAGTTCAGAAATAGGCCTAAGAATATATATAAGAATTTAAGCAGATTACAAAAGAGATATTTATTTAAAAATCAAGGAATAAAACCAGATTATTCAGTAAATAGTGTTAGGACTGTTTACAATTTTTGTATCAAAATAAACTCAAGTTGGATAAGAGTTTTTTTTCTTTTTGTAGTACCTAAGACTAGCAAAAAGTTAAGGGGATTTCTGAAAATAATCTTAGTGTGGAGAGGGATTTTTAAAGGCATAGTGCAATATCCAGGAATCATAAAGATAAGTATTGATGAGTTCCAGTACATGAAAATTTAAAACTTCATGGCCAAAACAAAAAAGAACAGCAACAGTTCCTTCCCTTCCAATAAAATTTTACATCATTGAAAAAATTTCAGTTGAGAAAAAATATTTGCCAAATAAATATGACAAAATTCTATTCAAGATACTGTTTTAAATATGCCATTAAAGAAAAATGACAGATATGGAAAGAGTCTTTGAAATGTTAGGTTAATAATATAAGAAGTTGTAAAACCAGTGAATAAAGTTGCCATATACATATTATACATACGTGTATATGCAAACCTTTTTAGTATATGCATAGAACTGTTTTAGTGTGTTGTATGACTTTTTTCCAAATTTCATAGGAGAGTGATTATGTCTTAGGGATGGTGTAATCATGGATTATGGTTGTTTTATATTGTGACCTGAAATTTTTGAATTTTTAAAAAAATAAAATGGGTGTATTGCAGTATTTTTTTTAACTTTAAGTATTTTATGTTGCAACTTACCTGTAATAAATTTGCATCTTCAGAAGTCAAGAATTCAGTTATTTCAAAAATTTATATAGCTAAATGGTCAAAAGTTTCCAAAGGAGCAAAGATAATAAGAAGTTAAATATACCTAACTTTGAAAGTCATCCTGTAAGTAATTTTAAAATCAAAACTTTTTAGGGATTTTTAGACTTAATAAATTTGAAGATGTGTGTGCTGATTTAATAGAGATTTACAAAATTAGCTCATCAGAAATTTTGTCAAGAACTTACTACAGAAAATGTCAGTAACATTTTTAGCCTTCTTAGCTGTATGAAGAGTCTTATAAAGAGATATTGCATGAGACAATTAGAATTCCTTATAGTAATATGTTTTTATGTAATAGTTGTAGTTTCAAAACATTAAAACTTTCTAAACCTAAATATAACATATGTAAGTACCTCAAAAATTTTTTGTGGTTATATGATACTGTGATGAGGTATGGACTAAAAACTCCTGAACTGCATTTTAATAGGCATGAAATCTTTAAAATTTATCATAAATTTATATGTGCAGATATAAAATTTATACCTGGGGACTTCAGTATCACAATTCATGGCCAAATGTCATTGAACATGTAATTGTTTCTACATTTCATATTATACTGTACTTTGAGATTGTGCTATAAATCTTCTGTGACTGCATTATTTCGGTATGTTGCTAACATTGATTTATGTTGGTTCATGTTACTTTAATTTGAATGCACTATTTCTAAATCATTCACTTAAAGTAGCAAATGCTTAGCCTTTACCACTTGTTAAATTTAAGTTTTTATCATAAGCAGTTCTGAAAGCTTTGTAGGAAGTACTTTAGTTTCAATAGAAAAATTCAGGGTTTTTTTCCTTGATTGTGATAATTACATTTTGTAATAGTGATATATCAGACATTTTATAATATTTATGACCAACTGACATAATTCAAAAATAATGTTATGCTTTACACATGCAAAATTATTCTTGTATTTGCTAAAGGTTTTAGTTTACCGTTACTATATATACCATTTATAAATTACCAAGAATTAAAATACAGTAAAATGCATTTAACTCATTATTGATCCTAATTTAGACTTTGATTCAGACTCAATAGTCATGATTTTGAAGTGCTCTGAGATTGTTGCCTCGAACAGCAATTGTCATTGTGTTTTAAACATGTAGATGTAGCTCTTCTAATCAAATATTGGCCAGTAGGGAAATAGTTTTATTCAGTTATGATAATTTCTTGTTTTATTTTTAAAGGATTTCCAGTCACTAAGGTGATTTTGGAAGTAAATAACCATAAAATGTTAATGATAAATGATAATAATACACAGTAAATAGAGAAGTAAATAACCACAAAGCAACTCCATAGAAATCTGGCTTCACTTGTGTCTAGCTAATTTAATTTAAATATCAGGTACTACAACATTTCATTTTTTTCTTCAGAAATCATTAATGGTCTATATCCCAATGTTCTTAATTGTTATAGGCTGCAGTTCATGGAGCTCGCTTCAAAGGGCAGGATCTAAAATTGGCATGGAATAAACCAATAACTAATATTTCAGCTGTTGAAGCAGAGGAAGTTGAACCTGATGAAGAGGAAGTATGTTTTTTTTTTCCCCACTTATTTTTGCCCATAAATGTTTGCATTTTTATACAAAGTTTGATTTTATGGCTGTGATTGTAACATAAAACTTTCATTCCTGAGCCATATTCCAGACAGGGGATATCAGATAAATGCAGACAACTTAAAATTTTCTGAATTTATGGGAACTATGGATTGCTAAACCCAAAAAGAATATATGAAAATCATGTATATATTTTTTCATTTACTCTTAGAAGATAATTATTCATTAGATTTTTATCCACAGGAAGTTTTGCAATATTTTAAACCATAGAGTATATATTCTACTCAATTGCTTTATTAACATTACAAGTTTCCTTTATTTTAATGCATACTGTTTTTAGTTCATTAGAATGAATGCCTTCTAAATGGTAGATACTGTGATAGGCACAAAATGAATAAGACACGGTCCCTTTCATCAAGGAGCTTATAATCTGGAAAGAGGGTGGTGACAGACACCTAAGAAACTATAATGAAATGGAGACTGATATGCTGAGTAAAGATTTGAACAATATGCTGTGGGAACCCAGCGAAAGGAGTGATTGTTTCTATCCAGAAGAATCTTGAAGGAGGTGGTGACAGTGAAACTGATGATAAAAAAGCTTTCCATGACCTAGAGCTGGGACTGGAATATAGTTGAGAGAGGCATTTTAGGCAGGGGGTAGGTGTGGAAGAGTGCTTTTGTCTTGGGTAACAGCAGTTAATCTGAAAGCAGAGAGTTGTGAGCATGAAGAACAGTGAAGTGGGAGAGCCCCTTGATCCATATTCTTAAAAATATGCAAATTTATTTTGCTAATTATGAAATAAACAAAATTTGAGGAAATTAAGAAATAAAGGTAAGCTAGGTAAATTAATGATCTATGATTTACCTTTGTTAGATTTTCATAATGGCACTTTATTTTGTTTAAAGACCATTCAGGGCTGTTACATATCCATAGTCAAATGCAAGATAAAATGTGTATTTTGAAACTCATATACATGATTTGTCATTTTATATTTTAGATTATACCTTTGTCCTTCCATGAGTTTGAATTGAATGGGGAGAAAAGCAGGAGAGCTCCTGGTATTAGGTATTTTGAAAAGTTTGCAAAGCAGTATGAGAAGCTTTTATGAAGGGAATGGGGAAAAGAAAGGAATGTTATAAAAGAAAATGTTTGTTTTTAGAAAAGAAATATAAATCTTGATAGACTTTTATACAAGCTATTGGTTGCTTTAGTGTTCAGGCTTAGGGTAAGTCAGAAAACAGTGATGTTGTCTTTTAAAAAACAGGTATTGTGCAATGTTTTGTAGGTAAAGAAGATGGCATAATTTGATAGAGTCAGGAGAAATGGCATGTACAAAGGCTTACTTTGATATGTCCTTAGTGATAGTTTATAATAGAGTAGATACGATAGTGGAACCATTGTGTGGATAAATATTGCTTTTCTCTGTTTCTTGAATGTTCTAGCTATAGAAATACCTTTTGCATTCAACTCTGTTGAGAAAAATCAGTATTTAAAAGTGTCACCTTTTTCTCTTTTTTTTGGATAAATTCCTAAATGCATTTTAACCTAAAGTTTCAGGAAGAGTCTTTGGTGGATGACTCATTACTTCAAGATGATGATGAAGAAGAAGAGGACAATGAATCTCGTTCTTGGAGAAGATGATTTGACTGATCATTGATCTGCATATTCTAGAACTCTCCCTGTGTTTCATTAGTATTATCTAATGTACTTTTACATATTTGTAAAAACAATTTTTGGTAAAATGTGTTGAAGATGGATTTCACAAATAGACAAAAAAGAAGAAAACTACCTTCTGATCCTGTATTTTGAAAGATTGATGTTTGCATTTTATTTCAGTAAACAATTGCTAAAGACATCACACTAGAAACATATGCAATGTTTTTATTACATACTTCTACTGAACATCATGGAATTCTTTGGGTTCTTTGTAATTTAATAGGTCTGAAACTTATGACCAATACTTGTTACAACTTAGAGGATTTTGTTTTACTCCAAATAAGGAATGAATTTGCATTTAAAATCTTAATGTTTTCAAAACTGAATAGATAACATAGTACTCTAAGTCTCCAAGTTATGTATTCATATTACATAGTAATATGCTTAGGCTTTACTATGTATTAGCCTTTTGTTGGATTGTGTATGTATTTTATCATATGGGTTTTAATGATAATGGTGTATGACTGCTTTGCATATCAGTCCTTATGCATTCAGATGTTAAAAATAAAGTGGAATGGTCTCTTGAAAAGAAAAGAAAAGAAAAAAACAATGACAAAAAAAAAAGTCCAAGACAATGTTCCTTGATTTAAGAAAAGAAAAAAAGAAAAAAAAAAAAGAAAAGAAAAAAAAATAAAATAAATAGACCATTCCAGACGGTGATCTACCCTTACCCCAATTATCACAAAAGGAGCTATAATCACTAACTTATTTTTAATAATAATGGTTATTGATACCTTTACAATAATGTACAATTCCAATGTTAAAAATTTATACCACTTCAGTTTGGTTTGATCCTATAAATCTTCAACAGATGTCTTAAAATTTAAAAGCAGGCTGATTAGTTTGGAACCAGACTTCAAGTAGAGCTAACATTTGGTGAATAAGGAAACATCACATTACATTTTGGATGTATGAAAGAAAACTTGACCATTTGAAGATGTATGAATAAAGAAATGTACTGTAGATACCACTTTAGGAAAACACTGTTTGGTAAGTGTTCCAGTCTGATATTTTAAGTGTGCATTTCCTATACTTGTATAAAAACCTTTGACATTTATAACAGTATTGTGATTTTTAAGTGGATTTCCCTGGCAAGTGAACATTGAAAGTTGACATAGCAGTTTCAAGGAAATAAATGCATTATTTGTAGAATGAGGGGATGGGAGATTACATATTTTATCTTTTAAAAATTGATTATTTCAGTTGCAAGTGTTTCTGCCCCTCCTGAGATTACAGTGATTATATTAAAATTCACATTAAGAAAAAAAATCATCACGTTCTTCCCATACTGGGGTCCTCACCATCATGAACTGTATGTAATTCTACCACCCTAGCCTTCTGCCAATGGAGTAACTAGTAGATGCTGTTCCTGTTTTTCCTTTTCTTCCCCACTTAGGGTTAAAGTTGTTTATATGTTCTTGATGGTAATATTTATTTCACAGGAATGTTTGGCTTGCAGTTGGTGCACACATTTCTATTTAAAATTACACAACCAGATTTCTTTTCTCAAAATAGTAACTTTATTCAAAAACTTCCTTACTTAGATCTGTAATACATTTTTATGTAGTCTCTTGTATGTTGACTATGTGCTATTCTGATTCATTAGGTAAGTTTGTTTTCTTTTCTTTTTAGTAGTCGTGAAAGGTGCCAAATTGGCAGAGGCTCACGTTTCTTCTCTTTACACCAAACAGGTATTATAAAGAAAGAAAATATTTGAAAGGCCAGTTAAATCTCCATGCTGATTTTTTTGGCTTTATAATTTGATTAATAAACTTTAGCCTGATATTTTAAAAATTACTGTAAAATTCCCTTATAATCTAACTAAAATTACATTCTATTTATTGAAATCTGAAAATAGCTTATCACTTTCCCTAGCCTTAAATTCTCACATAACCTAAAATTGAATTGTTTTAAGCTGTGTTACTTTGAATGAATCAGAAGACAAGTACGTTTCAGTTTGGACCTGAAGTACGGGGATTAAATATTAGCAAACATTCTTTAGGTTCACAATTATATTTTTATATTATTTTAATTGTAATTATTACTTAATATTTAATTGCTGTTGGATTTTTTAAATTAATGAGTATGTTTAAAAATGCTAGTATACTACATGTACTTCAATGTATTCTCACTTAAAATTTAAGAAATCCCTTTGAAGTAGTTGCTAATTCCCATTTTACAGATAAGGAAACTTAGGCTAGTAGAGATGGAGTGACTTGCTCAGAGTCACAGCTAGTGAGTAGGAGGACTATATTTGGATGCAGGCCTTCTGATTTCAGTGCCAACTTTTTTGTTTTTAACTCTGCATTGCTACCTCCTTCCTAATTATTGATTGAGCATGAGATTGTGGTTGCAATAAATGTGCTAGTCCTTGCACAGAAAAAATAGACTTCCTGGTCATTAGCCAGTTCATACCTTTGCCCTCCCTTTTAATATAGCACTTTGTTCATCTCTGTTACAGTAGTTATGTTGTAATATAATTTTTCTGGTTTATATGTCTGTCTTCCCCACTAGATTACAAGCTCCTCTAGGAAGGGGACCATGTCTTATTCATATTTTTATCTCTAGTGATTATCATAAAGCCTGGCTCATAGTGGGCACACAGATGTTTGTTGGATGAATTAATGAATGAATGCATATTTAAATCTCCAAAAATGGAGTGACAATTACCTCCCTTGTTAATTCTTATCAATTTTTCAAAAATTTCTCTTGAAGATCTTCCAGACATTGGGACCATTTTGCTAAACGATTGATACAGTTAAGTATTGCAGTAGTGGGGTTACTATACTTGCAGTCTTAGTGGAATTTCCACAGTTAGTAAGGCATTAATATCTTGGAGTATTATATGTTATAGTCAGTTTGAGGAGTAAAATAGCCTTTTGGTTTCTGTCAGTATGTAAGAGTAGAAATGCCAAGAGCCACCAATCTAGTCCATCCCACTAATTTTTTAAATCCAAAGATGACTTAGTGTAGGGCACTGGACAAGGGGTAAGAGATTTAGCTTTTGGTCCCAGCTCTGCAGCTAACTCCCTGGCCTTAGACAGGTATCTTATCCAGGGCTGTTTCCTTGTCTGTAAAATGAAAGGGGTTGGACTAGATGATCTCTAAGGTACCTTTCACATCTATAGTTTCCCTGGTGGTATATCCATGTTTGGTCTAACACACATTTTCTCCCTACCTAATGTTGCTATTGTTGTTTCTATCACCATATCAATGGAAACAACTTAGATTTGGTTACGATAATTTGTGTAATGTGTCTCAGTACAGCTTTGTATATAGTGTTCCCAAATATTTGCCTTCAGCGGCCCAAATTTCATTCAAATTATAAAATATAGATAGACTTCTGTATTCACTAATAACTTTCCCTTCCTGCTTAAAAGTTTTTCGTTTTGCTTCTAAACTCAAAAGTTTAAAACTTTTTCCTAGTACAGTATACTACCTAAATCTCAAAATGCATTTTTAATTCTACAGCTCTTCTAATAAATGCTTTTCCTTAGTGTAGATCTGGGGTGAGTTGGGAGTGAAAAAAAATGATTGACAACAATGTAGGCTGCTATTTCTTACTGGAAAAAAACTGAGGGAAATTACATGTTATTGCTTAAAAGATTGATTAGGATTACCTCAAGGGATGGTTAAGTTGTCATTTTGCATATTTTACTCAATATTTTATGTCTCTACTTAAGCAGTGTTGTTTTAAATGTTATTGGATAATTGTAACATTTAAAAAATTAATTTCAGTATTTATCTGATGCCCAGGCTTTTACTGAAATCATGTTTCAGGAATGGGAGAGTATTACAAAGCTCTTGTTTAATTGTAATATGATCGAATGTATCAATCAGCATTTTACTCTAAAAACAAGACTTCAGTGTTTTAGCTGATTATCAGCTTAATTGAAGGAAATTTCTGGTTACCACCACTGCCTTATGGGGACTGTACCTCCAGTCTTACTTGAACAGTAATAATTGGCACTAAGGGTTATAAAAAGAAAGCAAACAGTTGCTTGTTTAGTATGTTGAATATCAGTGGTTATTTTAGAGTTATATACAGACTTTATCAACATATATTCTCATTTTTCCCCTTTAACATTATATGAACTAATTATAGAAAATTAGTTTTAGAAGAAAATTGTAGAAAATCAGTCCTTCAAGAATTTATATAAGTATTTGTAAGGTTTTTTTTTATTCCCTTAAAAAGGTCTTTAAGCCTTTAAACAAAAATATCCTGCATGAAATTTTGGCTAATTAATTCACAGTCTGGTTTTTCTGTCAGGGCTTTTCTTACTCATCTAAAACCCTATAAATTAAAAGTGGAAATTTAGGATTAAATCATCAGGGTACAGTATTTGTAAAGCAGAAAAAATTTCCTTTTCCCCAATCTAGAAACTACCTTGTTCTTCTTCTCAGGCTGGCTAGTTACTCTAAGGTATGTATACAGGCTTTTAGAGAAGAGCAGGGTTTTTTTCCCCTCTCTCTGATATGTACCTATCAAATGGCAGTATATAATCTTCCAAATTAGCTGCTTAAAAGTTCAAAGAAAGAAAGAAATCTTGGTGGACCATGACAGGCAATCTCAGTAATTTCTAATGATAATGTCATCTTTGTTTAGTAGAAAAGTTTCTAATTTGGTAAATAATTTTCTGTAGTTTTATTAGTGAGATGTACTCGTTAGTGTAATAGAAAGCATTTTATTTTACTTTTTTCTATCAATTTATTATACTTGCTCCTTCCTAACCCCTCCCTCTCCGTTATTTTATTTAATCTATCCACTCTTCTTCCCCTCATCCAAACTTAGTCTTCCTTTACATACCAAGCACTGTCTCATTTTGATGTGTTTCTTTCTATTTCTGTTGTTAACCTTTGTGCTTAGTTTAGAATTTTATGTCATGTGATGTGACTAAAGAATGAAATGATTATCATAGGGAGTTTAAGGAAACTAGATACACCTTGCCATTACTTTTAAATATCTGGGAAACTTAAGAAACTTGTTCTTTTATTTTTACTTATGATATATTGGAATTTGTATGTGATTTCTTAAAATTATTTTGCCTACCCACACCTCTATGAAAATTTTATATCTGGTCAGTTACTACATTTCCTAATCAAAAATTCTTAGATCATTGGTATGTTGTGATGCTATGATCTTTGCAGTTTAATGTCTTAAAGAAGCATAAGGTAGAGATTTTTTTAAAATCACTTTAATCCAAAGCTGATCTTTTGTGAAATTTGTCTGCAACTTTGATTCCTTTCTCCAATAGATTTTTTTCAATGTTTAGAAAAATTGGAGATCAATTTATGGCGTGATACAATTTTTAGGTTTGTTTACTATTTTCACAATTTTTTTTAATAGTCTTTTCTTTTTCCAGCAGAGAGAGATCATCATTGCCTGAATTTAGCTTTGTGACTGCAACAGCAAGACTTGTTCCTGTCTGGAGACGACTGTTATATCATCCTGTCATTTTGTTTGCCCTTAATCAATTTGAATAGATGTTTACACGTGCTATAATTGGCATTTTATCTTCACAGTTCTCTAAGGGTACATCTGAGTTCAGAAGTATGTCTGAGTGTGTGCTTTGTCTGACCTTATTCTTAAATATTTTCTTCCCTTATTTTATAGCCATTTATTTTTTGAACACAGTAAGAAGGAAAAAGACTTCTTGGTTTCCTAATGTGAAATAAGTTCAGTCTCAGCCAAATTGAGAATTGTGTCTTAGAAATTTATAAAGCCATGATGCTGTGTTCATTAGCGTGAACAATTTAGAATGAAGAAGATGATTAAAAAGTTAAGCATGGGTTTGGTTTTAATTTTTCTGTGTTTTAGGATGCATTTCTGGGGTTAGGATAGTCACTTAAAATCATTTTGAATAGGTGGCAAAATACTTTTATACACTGTAATAACCTGCCTATTCTAACTATGGTTACTAAAGTTGCCAAGGCCACTTAGCTGAAAAATTAAAAAAAAAAATTTCTTAGTTCTTCAAAACCAAAAAGGAGAATAATTTTCTCTTTTCAAGGAATACAGGATGATCTGTGGATTATAAATATTGAGAAATAGCTACTAAATGTCTGATTTACTTAATTTTTCCACATTTTCCTCATGCAGTTAAAACATCAAGACAATCTAAAAAACAAGGGGAAAGTGTTGTTTCCTAACAGTGTTAAAGATTGTAGTTTTTCTTTCTTAAAATGTGTATGTCCGTATTATTTACCTATAGGCAATATGGCTTAGAATTATTTATAAAAAATATGACTGAATCTTATCCTAAATATTCATTCAAAATACCTTTTTTGTAATAATGGGCACCATAAAAAAAGTTTTCAGAAAAAATAAATTTCTGAATACTCCTTCATAGATCCTCATGAGGTATTCGAGAAGTTTGGAAGTTATATTTAGTATAACTCTTTGTAGAAGTTCTAACTCTTTATTAGAAAAATCCAGATTGCACTTGGATTGTATGTACTGTAACCCCCCACCCTATTTAGTTCCATTCAGCTATGGTCATATTTTCAATTTTTGTGCAAAGTTGACTGTTCTACAAACATATTTTTCCTTGAGTACACAATGCATTTTCTTCATGAAAGATAAAAAGAATGAACACATCAGCCATAATGTAAAATAACTTTTGATCCACGCTAGTTGGTGACAGCATGGTTAATGTTAGGCTTGGTTTAAAGAAAAATTATATATTTGGAAGGTCTTCTAACATAATTATGACCTTTTAGCCAACAAGACTTTTTAAATAGACTTTTCTCTTAGCTCACATTAGCAAACTAGCAGATAACCTCAGTGAATTCATTTAAATATTTTTTTGAGATTCATTTAATATTTTTTCTTTTCAAGGAAAGCATCTGCTTGTGTAACAGTAGTTCAATTGGTAGTTTAGAAATCCAAAGAACACTGTCTTGAAGAGGCCATACTTGATGCTAACAGGTTTTGTTGGTTAACAGATCTGGACCACTTACCACCACCCTGAACTTTATTTTGTCATCTTTTTTTTTTTCTTTCCTTGCTTTTAAAATAAAAACAAAATAAAGCAAAATAAAATTGACCATGCCACTGGAATCAGAAGTCAAGATGATTTTATTCTAAGATCATTGTGCTTTTTGAAAATTGCTGTGAAGTCCAGTAGATGAGTTACATATTTTAAATTCACATATGTTGATTAATTAAAGATAAGAATTTTCATTACTTCATTTTTCTCAATAGAATTCTCATGGAACTAAGTGTAGATAACTGTACAGAATGAAGGAGTTTACTTATGCATGATTGCATTATGGAAGCCTTTTATATACCTTTATATTTTTCAATATACTTAGATTTTACACTATTATCTGCTCTAGTCATGCTATATTTGTTTTTTTAATAGAGTTTATAAACATTTATGCTCAAATACAGATCAAGTGAATATTTTTGGTCTTGTTTACAAGATAAGTAATACTTTAAAGGGATGCAGCCCCTCAAGTGTCTTAGGAAAAAAGTCATTGGTGCTACAAAACCTTTCAATATCATTTTTGAACCTGTTACCTAGACTTTGTTAGGCTTTAATCTATGATTACTTGTGACTTCCTCTAATCTAGCAGCATAATTATAAAAGTGGTCTGTGGTGAGTCAGATAAAGAGCTCAGCCCATTCCTAATGCCCTGTAATTTAAAGATACACAGAATGACAGTATACTTTTTCATGCCCAACTTCCCAAAAAGAAAGAGCTTCTTCTGTTTGTCCTTAGTTCTTTTGAAAAGAGGAATGGTGTTAATCTGGCTAGAATAAAAAAATGGTACTTTAATCATGGCTCAGTTATCCCATATTTCAAATAGAAAACTTTTCTAGTTCTAAAATATGATATGATCCTGCTCTGCTTTAAATTCCCATCTATCTTTTACTCAACACGAGGCAGGATAATTCTTAAGTATTTATAGAACATTTGTTGAGTTGTAAAGAGATGTATTATTCACATTGTACAAGTTTTGTGTTGATGTGTAGATTGTTTTCTACATTTACAAGACTTCATTCCAGCACCTTAGTGAATGTTCTTAAGATACAATTTTTAAGTATCAGCAAAGCATTCATGGATGTTTGCTTATGATCCTCAGAATCCTGAACCTGTTTTGAGTGTGATACTACTTCACAGTATGTTGTCTGGCACAAGATTTCCTTTAATAAGCGGTTTAGTTTAACACATTTATGTGGATTGTTGAACCTATAAACACCAAAGGAGTCTTATTCTTGTCTGGAGACTGGATTGTTCCAGTTTTTAATACCTATGCCCGTAAGTGTCCCATTTCACGAATGTGTGTTGGCATGGGAAAAAGTTCCCTGCTCTTTGAGTGGAGCGAAAGTAATTGGTTAAGCTGTAGCAGCTTTTTTTTTTTTAAGTGATAATAAAACTTGAACTGAAAAAGGTAAAACTTGAACTAGAAAACTACTCTTGTATGCTTAGAATGTTTATAGTATAACATGTTTATGTGGGGTTGTCAACATTTTTATTATTTATAGTTGAATTATGTTTTGTTAAATATCCATGTTTATTATTTTTATATTTTGAAAAAATTTTAAATAAAATAGTCTTACTAAAACAGTTGTTAACTTTTTAAAACTGTCTGGCATCAATTATATTAATATAGAATAGAAAGAAAAATTTTCAGCCCTCCAGGCATTGCATAATTGAGAATTCTGAAAATGTTAATATAAAGAACTGGCTCCACTTTGCCTCTTTCCCTCTTTACTCTCTATTCTCACTTAAAATTTTTTTAAGTAACTTATGGTATCAATGTATTACTGACCTAATGACTCCTTTTCTCACATATGTATATGCAACCTTCATACTATTCAGTAATCCTGCTTCTTTACTGCTAGAAATTTTGTATTTATACCATTTGGGGGCCAAAATTTCTCTGTATGAGTGATAAATATAAAAATACTATTGTGATGTCAAAGAAGGACGGCCATAGATTTCTAAAATTAATTACATATAAAATGCTTATACTGCAACATTCAAAGCCATTGAAGGTTTTCAGGAACCAGAGTAATTTTCTCTCCGTAGCATTCAGTTTTTATCTGAACATTTCCCCTAATTTAACCTGCTTTTCCAGCATTTGGCATGTTCATTTCATACTTAATTTTATTGAATGATAAATATTGCAATATTCTGTTTTTCATTGCAGGTACACCTCCTATTATAATATGGGTTAAATGAGCTTGGTAATTACCTGTCTTACACTTGTGACACTGCCTTCTAGGAGAAAATACATTATCATCTCAAGTGCCTAAGTCTTGACAAAAGTCTAGTTAAAAAGGTCTGGTTGTGAAATAGAAGACTGGCTTGAAATAGGAGATTTTGATTAATAAATACTGACATACTGGTGAAATTATAAAAATATATAATATTGTCTATATCAAATATATAAATATGAACTATCTGTATATGGCCAGCCCCTATGGAATATTTGCTGATTGAGCATGTAGTTAGTTAGCCTTCACTTAACCTAAAAAGTCTGCCTAAGATATGAATGAATTTGGTTTTTAATCCTGTAAGAAAAATCACATGTAATTTATGTCATTGTAGAAAACCTAGAAATTTCAGATAAAAAGACAAAGGTAGACTGATAGCCTATCATTTATAAATGATCACCAGACAGTTAAAAATGGGGTTATATGATGTGTATTCATTTATGGTAGGTTTATAGCCATTTTTAAAGCCCCTCCATTGTAGATCAGTCATAATGTATTGAATCAATCCTCAATCCTCAGTTTTGGCATTTGGGGCCTTTCTATTTTTACTTTAATATAAATGATGCTGTATCCTTAAACATCTTTTATTACTGTAAATTTGCAACTGTGAGATCAGTATAATTGTTTTAAAGCTTATGATACATTTTGAATTTGATCTCTTAAAAAGCATGTATATACAGACTCATAGGTACTTTAATAAGGTAGCTTTGGAGGACAGCATAAATTCAGTTTTCTTTACGTGTTGAAACAGTGAATTTACATTCATATTTTAACAGAAATCAAATCATGCCTGATACAGTAGTTAAGCTCTGATGCAATAGCGACACTGTTAATGTCCTGTAATTACAGTTGCCAGGATTCTGTGTCCATAGTGATTTTCTTCTGTGGAGCTACAGATTTTTTAATTTTGTTACTGCATTTTATAAATGTTCAAGGACTTTTATACTCTCATAACTAGTTCGTATTGAAAAGTAGGGCAGATAATCTTTACCTTTTTTAAGTAAGTTAAGAGGCAGAACCAGCACCGGAATTCCCATGACAAGAATACATAGGGTAACAGGTAATTCGTAGCAACAGCACACGGACCCACTTTCTCAGTTCTCCAAACTGCTTTTCTCCAGAAAATTGTTTTCCCCATGAAGTTCATGAACACTTGTTACTGAAACGAAGCATGAACTAGAGTGAAAGAAGAAAATTACATAGAAATAGGAAAACGGTGGGTTCCATATATCTTCCTTCCATGTCATAAACAAAAGGCCATTTTTGTAAAGATAATCCATTAGAGTAAAATTCCTTGCAAATCATTAACAGTTTCCTGACCTGCCCATATAAAAGTCATATTTTAGCTAATATCCCACGGTGTTTATGACAGTTCAAATATTTGAGTTTGTAGTGTTAACGGCAGAGTTTTCTTAAGTTGTGAATCTTGATTAACTTTCTATAAATCTGAAATGTGTATTGAAGTTGCAAGAATACTGTTGAATTCAGTGCTATGTGAATCTGATTATCTAAAATACAGCATGCTGTGTATTTGGGGATTTGAATTTAGGACATGGAGTTACTGGAAAAAAACAATTTCATGCTCCGAATTTAAGGAGGATAGAGTACAACTTACACAAAAAAGAGAGCCTTGAAATCTTTCACATTCCTGCAACATTTTTAATGTTAAAATGTTACTTATTCCAAAGACTGCAAGTTTTTCAGGGACATTGCCAAACTTTTTTAAAGTAATAGCTGTGATTTAGTGGACAGACACCCTGCATTTTTTTATTAGAAGTCAGTGTTAAGAAATACTTAGAAATTATAGCTGTCTGAAATTTTGGAGTTAGAAATGGATAGCTGTCGAATTTGTACTAAATTTAATACAATATTGCTTCATTTTTTCTGGTAAGTCTAGTAGGTAATATGCCAATTTTACATTTTATGTTTTTCTTGTCAAAGTATAGAGTTAACAGAAATTAAGGAATGACAGGAAGGAAGATTTCTGGCCCTTAGCAATTGTCTTGGCTGAATGAGGTAAGAATTTAAATAAATTACCAAACATAATTTGACAAAAAAGATTCTTTGGGTACTGATCTAGTAGTCATGTCAGTTCTCACGTCATATTTGTAATACTGAGTGGGTGAAAACTACGTATGTTAAAAATGTAAGAAATAGAATCCTAACCAGCCATTCTTTGGTTAACCTAAAGGGGTAGGTTTTTTTATTTTATCAAAATCCTCCAGTGAATAAGAGATTCCCTAAATCGGCAGTGCTTGCAGAAGAATGGAGCCATGTGAGTTGCTGAGGATGGGAGGAAGAGGATGGGTCACGGGTCCTGCGTTCATAAAAGTTGAAGCAGCCTAGGAGCAAGTAGTCCTTTTTATTTTTTTCCCCAGCTGACAAGTTTTATTGAGCATCAAATACGTGATTAATTCATAGAAAAGAGTGCATCTATTCAGGATCCTCCTTGTGTTCCTCACAGAGAAGTACTCAAGGTAGGGGCAGCAATTGCAACCTGAGTGAGTTCCAATGATTGCCCCCCAAGCCCTTTTTTACTGCCACAAGAGCACCTCAACACAATTTGTATTACACATAAAGGTATAAGTCACACCATTCAGACTTAATGTCTAGACAAGTTCAGTGTCCTCCAAAGTATTCACTGTTATACTTAGGTAACCTACCTGGGACTCTGGCCCCGTTGTACCTGGGAAGTGTGAACACTTAAGGCCTCCTGGGTACAGTTTGGACTATAGCTTACCACAAAACAAACATAAAAGTCAATTTCTGTATTCTAAAATTGAACACTTGGAGACTGAAATTAAGAATACAAGGCCAATTACCATCACAAGGAAAATAATGACATAATAGGTGTAAATCTTACACCATGTAGAGGACTTGTATGTCGAAAACCACAAAATGCTGATCAGTAAAATCAAGACCTAAATAAATGAAGAGACATACACTCATGGATTGGAAAATCTAACATAGTAAATGTGTCAATTCCCCCCAAATTAATATACTGGTTTAACAATACCAAAATCCCAATCAGGTTTTTTATAGATACAAGGATTATCCTAAAATTGGTATGGAAAGGCAAAAGAACTAGAATAAAACAATTCTGAAAAGGCAAAAGTAATCAGTCTATTCAATTTCAAGACTTACAGTTATAGTAATCAAGACTTTCTGATGGATGGATCTCAGTGGATGGGGTAGACACATCGATAGAACAGAAGAGAGACCTTAGACCCAATAGACAAAAAATGTTGACCGAAGTTTCACACCTTACTTAGCAGTTAAAGTGAATCATGGACTTAATATTTAAGACTTTAAAACTCAAAAAAACAAATCTGGGTTTCTAGGGCTAGGCAAAAAGTTCTTAGACTTGACACTAAAAGCATGGTACATAAAAATAATAAATTAGACTTCATGAAAATGTACAACTTTTGCACGGTAAAGGAATCTGTTAAGGAATTAAAAGAGCTACAAAGTGAGAAAACTTATTTGCAGACCACATACCTAGTATGGGTCACTATTGGTACCTAGCATATGTTACCCATGAAGCTCAGCCAAAAAAGCAAACAATCCAGTTAGAACGTGGAAAGACAAAAAATTTCAGCAAAGATGATAATCAGATGGCAAATAAGCACATGAAAAATTATTCAATATCCTTTGCCATTATCTTTTCATACAGATGCCTGTATACAAATATTCATAATGGGAAAAAGCTGAAAATAATCCACATCTTTTGATGGGTGAAGAGTTAAACTGATGCAACTATTCCATGAAATACTATTCATCTGTTAAAAAAAAAAAGCCACCCTTAGATGAATCTCCAGAAGTTGAATGAAAAAAGCCAGTCCCAAAAGGTTACTGTGTGATTCCATTTATGTAACATTCTTGAAATTATATAGATGATGTAATGTTACATAGATCTTGTAATTATAGAGATGGGGAACAAAGTCGGTAGTTGCTAGGGTTATGGAGGTGGTGGGGGTGGGAGAAGTGGATGTCACTGAAAGAACAACATGAGGGATCCTTATGATGATGAGAATGTTCTATATCTTGACTACCAATGTCAATGAGCAGGTTGTGATACTGTCCTATACTTCTGCAATATATTACCATTGGAAATTTATAAAAGGGCACATGAGATCTTTATTATTTTTTAAACTTAATTTATCTCAGAAAGTTTAATTTGAAAAAGCAAAAGGTAGAGTAACATCTAACTAGTTCCATCTTAGGGAACAATCTGGGAAAATGTCTTGGAAGAATGTCTGCTCCCATAAAGAATAAGTTCTTGAGAGCAATTGTTTGAGGTATATAAAAGGAATAAATTGAGTTTTCATGCTTGAGAATTTCTGGAAGTATCGCAGACTTATTTT